AGCAGCAAAGAGCGGAGTAATATGGTTTTGCGCGTGCATCTCGATTACACAGACCGCGCGCCAATCATCGCGTCTACGTGCAGCGCGAAGCCACACAAAGGGATATCTCATTGGCGTCTGTGGCCGCGCGCTGCGGTTACGCCGTCTTCCTCTCTCTCTCTCTCTCTCTCTCTTCTTCGCGGCCTTACGCTTTCCTTCGTACTTTTTTTTTTCTTCTTTTCTCTTTATTTTCTTGCCGTTTTATTCGGGGAGGCACCGTTATTATTGTTATTCACGCGTTACGCTTCGTCGAGCCTAATGGCGCGACGCGGTTTCTCGGCGAAACGAGAGAGAGAGAGAAAAATGAAAGATTGCGTGCTCGTTTCTCCGGCGCGCGGAGGGATCGCGCAGTTTTATGCGAGGCGAATTCGATGGTGGTCTTGGGGTTTCGCGTCGAGCCCGTGCGCGTGGTACTTTTTCTTTTTGCGACGAAAACGCGCGTCGAGACACGCACCGACGATTTTGGCGAGCACGCACCGAGGCGTTCAGTTCCAACGGAGGGGTATTTAGCGAAATCGCAGAGATCACCGGCGTATCGAAAGGCCGTCTCGAACGTACGCCAGTGTCCGCTGCGAAACTCGCGCCGGGTATCTTCGCCCGCTCGCGGACCGCGAACGACAAAGAAACGCTCGATCCGCGCGCCAAAATAAGCTCTTGCTTGGCTCGCTCGGCCGCGTCGCGTCTAGAGTTACACTCGCGAGACTCGTGCCGCGGAAGAGCAGAAAACGAGGACTTCGCATGTGTCCAGCGTTGAATTACCACCTTCGGGTTATCGATATATCGAATTATACGGTGTCCCGACGACGCTGCGGCTTCCAGAGATACGCACGGAGAAGCAAGCTCGACTGCCCGACCCGCGTAGTCTGACGTTATAATGGAGTAATAATTCTGTCTATCCCGGCCTTTTTAGTATATGCCGAGGCGTCAGTTTAACTCGCCGGGTATCCTTTCGGCTCGTGAGATACCTCGCGATGCCAGCGCTGCAGCCCCTTTTCTCCGAGCCGCTTCATTTCGGCCCCGCGGCGCTGTGGGAATCATTGCGCGGGCGAGAGAGCACAGGCCTCGTCCGCCACTCCGACGCGCGCTTAATCGACCTGTCGCTTCTTGGGGTAAGAAAAAAAAATAAAAGGAAGGTCTCGCGCGCCGGCACAGCTGCGTGACTTCCCGAACGCACGCACGAAAAGAAAAAAAAAAAAAAAGCTATAATAAAAAGCGCGCGGTTCCGGCGTTTCCGCGCGCCGGCCAGTTTTTCCATCTGGCGCGCCGAGTACGCGACCTCTCGCCAATGTCAAGGGCCGCGCGCACGCGATGCTCGGCTAATAACTGTCTGCGCCAGCGATCGCCGTGGAAGGGTTGCCTCCTCCGTGCGTGCGTCGCTCGCGCAGGTGGATGGACGTACGCACGCGCGTCGCTCGTTCGTACGGAACGCCGTCTTTTTGGCGGTGCGAGAGCAAGAAAATGGAAAGAAAAAACAATTGACGGCGCTACGATCGCGATACGGATAATTCGTAAGTTACATCGGGGCAGTATGTCTCTTCGATCGCGTTGTCGAACGACGCTTCGGAGGTGCACGTTTGCGATTCCAATACGCGCCAAGAGGCGGAAAACTTGGAGCAACTGGAATTTCCCGGAATGGACCGTTCGAAGTCTACTACCAGCGCGAGTCAACGGCATTTTCTAACGATACGAGTTGAGAAGACGAGCTATTACGAAAGCTTTCCCAAAGAGACGAGCGCAGGTTAAACGCGAGGAACCCACCGCGACAAGTTTCCACTGCTGTGTACCAGAGCTGCCGTCCATCGGTCGCACCCAAGGGGCAATAGCGCAGAAAAAGCTCGGCAGTGTTGCAAATTGAGGACGCGAATGCCAAACCCATCGCCCGAGAAATCCAGTGATCTTCCTCTCCCGAACGAACCGGCATGAAGCATCGCGACGACCACATCGTAAAACGAAACAAACAAAAAAAGCGAACAAACGAAAGCGGAGATAGAAGGAACGCTGATCGCGAGAAAGAAGAGAGAAGAAAAATCGCAGAAGCGGAGCAGCACGCGGCACAGCGTTCGCCCGAAGCCTCCCCTAAAGCGTCCGGGCAGGGGAGGGTGAGTCGCGCCGGGGCTCGCGATTGGTCGGAGGCAGTTCCCCTCGTCGGCGGCTAATTGGTCGGCGCGTCGCGGCATCCCCCATTGGCTGGCGCGCGCTCTCCCCCTCCTTATCAGAGCCCGCCGGGGAGGTTGACGACTCCTCGCGAACGAGCAGGAGCGTTCCCGGGGCTCGGGGATCACGGCGGGCAGGTAACGCGATATCGTCCGCCATCGCTGACGGCAGGGCGCGACCGGGTGCGCGGACGTCCGCCGTGCCTGGCGGTCGCGACGAGCTCGACGACCACCGCCCTCGTCGAGGAAGAGAAGAAGGAGAGAGTGGTGGCGCGCTCGCGGAGCGCCCGAGGAGAAAGGAGACGCGCGGGGCGCGGCGGCGCGTCGGGGGATGAAAAAGAAGGAAGCGCTACGGTATCGCTTTCGTCGCGCGTAATCCGCTTACGCGAGTCTCGTCGCTTCACAGTCATGTTTATCTGGGCGCGCCGATCTCTCTCTCTCTCTCTCTCTCTCTCTCTCTCTCTCTCTCTCTCTCTCTCTCTCTCTCTCTCTCTCTCTCTTTCTCCTCTCTCGAGGATCGCGAGCGTGGCATTGTCAGCGCCTGTCTTGTGAGAAAACAGCGCTCGCGAGGCGCCGACCGCCTTGTCCGCCGCCAACTGCCCCCGGATTTCGTTTTTTTCTTTCCTCCTCTCGCCTCCTCTCGTGCGCGCTCTCAGGTGCGGGATTATAGCTGCTCTCCGGCCCCGGGAACGCTCGGGAAAGTTGTCTTTTATCGTCGCTGCGCGCTCCGCTGCGCGTGCTCTCTCTCTCTCCTCCGACGAGAGCGCCGCTCCCGGGCAGGGACATCTTTTTGAAGAATCTCGAGTGCGCGAGGACACGACGGCGAAGCGACGCAGAGGAACAATTAACCGCGTCGCAGCCAGTGCGCGTAACGCGAACAACCGCATGACTCTCGAAACGATGGAAAAGGCTGCAGGTCGCTTTTCCCGCGAAGGGGAGACACGCGCGTATCGCAAGACATCGCCCTCTTACCCCTTTTTTTTCTACACCGGCTAATCCCGCGTGCAAACAACGCCTCGCCACTCGTGTATGTACATTTCACGGCTGATTTTCATATCGTGGCGGGCCTCGTGTGTACGCAAATGTATATTTAAAGGGCATGGGGGTCGATCAGATCAGACTCTGTTTGATGGCTTTATTCCGTGGTATTATGGAGGTGATTTATCTATTATCCGTCTTTTTCTTTTACGAATTGGTCTTTTTCTTTTTTTTTTCAACGTGTTCAATTTACAGCAATGCATGGAATATTGTTAAGCAGTCTGCTTGTAAAAAGAAAATGTCAATTTTGAAAATGATCGGTACGCCAACAATTGAAATCTAATCTAGTTTAATTCACGATCGTCACGTGAATTTATCAAACTAAAAATGATATATTTTCACGTAGTTGTATTACGAAGCTGATCGGATACTCTTATATATAGATAAAAGTATAAACGGCGATAGCGAAGGGGTGGATGAAAGGATAAAAACGGGGGATAAAACAAGAGGGAGAAAAAAACGCCACGCGACAAGTCTATAGATGTACGGGACTGCACCCTTCGACGCACAAGCTGACATTTTTCCCAATAGATGCTTCCAACTGTTTCGCGCGATGTTCAACATAAATAGTGCGGCGGTTGCTTTTCTCGAAAATTATACGATCGGCCGATTCATTCTGATATTTCACTCCGACGAAGCGCTAAATATCTTGAAAAAAAACGAAAGGATCGCGCGACTTCCGTCTTCAACTTTTTTCCCTCGTTTGCGGTGAAAAAAGTTGCACGGGAAAGTTGCGATTCCGCCGACTCTTTTTTTTTCCGCCGCGCGGTCAAACCATCGCGAGAGAAATCTGTCTTTTTTGTTCGATCCGAACTTCCGAGATATTCTTATATTGTTAGAGACTTTTTCGTTGCAGTTGTGAGAAATGTTGATTTTCTCGTTTGATACCTAGATAATATTTTTTTCTGAGGATTCAAGTGGAAGAGTCCATGCATATAATATGACATGGCAATTTATTCATTGCAATTTTAAGGTACATCGAAAATATTTTCCCTCTTCGTGTTATAACTCAGTTGATAATTAAATATTCGAATATTTGTTTTTCTGACGAATGGTTGCCCATTTAAAGCACAGTAGATAACATAATAAATGAATAAAAATAATATTCATTGGTATAGAGTTGAACGTAACGGTATAAGATATTATCAATGGGTACATCATTTAATTTCAAATACAAAATAGTAAGTAATTCTAAGTAATTCTCAGTAATTCTCAGTAGTTCTCAGTAGTTTTATAAAGTAGCGATGATGAGCAAGACAAAGGGTACACACCTTATAACCAAATGAACCAGATGTCATCACTATACAAATATTTTATAACCGAACGTAAGAGATTCAAGCCGAACAAAAGTTAAATGTGACATAAACGTCATCTAGTATGATAAATTGAAACTTGAATAAGATACTGCTGAGACTTTCGACAGTGATATTTTTTTACACATAAAATGAGTCTCATATTTGTATCGGAAACTTAAGCTAATAAAATTTAAAACGATATTTGGAATAAATCTGATCCACTATCACTAGCATTAGAAAGAATATTATACACAAGGCATGTAGCAGAGTCAACGTTACCTACAGTGGACAATACTTTCAAACATTAGCAAAATTAAATAAAGACTAGATTTAATCTTTAAATTATACAAATCGATTTAACAATATTATTAATCAAATCGTCATTCAATAATTTCTCCAGAAAAGTTTTTGTATGTAAAATAAAAGTAAGATATAGGTAGGTAAAGTTAAAAAAACGTAATACTTCAAATCGAACGATATTTTATTCTAATATTTTTTTTGATAATTAATGTATTTTTTATACAGTTGCGTTCTCAAAAATCGAGAGGACGCATCAATTGGAATGAAAGTAAACAGAATCACGTTTAGTATCTTTCAAGCTAACTTGGCATTATTGATTAACATTAGGTAAAGCGCAATTTGTAAACTATACGGAGACTCTCCCAAAACCCTCTATATTTGTCAGTCTAACTTTGTTACACTATTTTTTTAAATCTTTTCGTGTACGCATACATGCTGTCTTATGAATTCTGAATCGAAGTAGTTTTTACAAAATTTTTTTTTATTTTAGATACTGAGATGAGCACTAGGATTGACAATAATAGTTTGTCTAACTGATTTTTACGATTGTATAACTTTTTTAATTCCATTCGATATATCATCCGTCACTCTTACATGCATTTTTACAAATGTACAATGGACGAGGTTGATGTAATACCATATATTCCACAATACAGATTTATACAGATTCATACAGATTCTTATAGATTCTTAAATTTTTCTGTATTGCTTCTATTTTTCACAGAATTTTGGGTTGACGATTCAAAGTTTTTTACATGAAAAGTAAAATTTAACTACAAAACAGATACAAATACTCTTCAAACACAAATTGAAGTTTCAAGTTAAACTACGTAACTGGAAAAATGTGATCGCTTTAACTTAACTCATTTTATTACTAGTTGGATTCGTACAATCGACGGGATAATTCGTATTTTTGCTATGAGAAAAGAAAAAAGCTCATCATCTTCATTGCGTAAACACTACATTACTAGCAGTCATGTCTTATATACGATTGTTGTATTCTTCTTATAACGTTTTATTAAATCTTTTTCTCTTTCTCAATTATCTTACATTATTCAAAACGTTCTTGTTTTCGCACATCAAAACGATCTAATGATTAGTTTTTGTCGCTGTGTGCGAGCGCTAATTAAATAAAATAAAAAGCGCGCCGACTAAAAGTTAGTTTATCATCATCTCATTCTCTCCATTAGAGTATAAAGGACAGATGAGAATAAAAATTACGAACTAGATTTGTAACAAGGAAAGTCAGTCGATGATTGTTAAAAATAGTAATGATAATGATAATGGGCCCTACGTGTCTTTTTTATTACGTGGTATGATTATAAAAGAACGAAGAAAAAAAATGCTCTACTTAAATTGCTAGGTATCACTTAGGAATTACGGAATAAAACTTTGATTCTCATGCGTAACGATGATAAAAGTCTAAATACACTATAATCTCTTAGAAACAAATAAAAAAATCGAGGACTGCATGACAAAAATTCATAAAAAAAAGAAAAACAGATCACGTTACAATGTATTGGCATTGACGGATACAAACAAAAGAAGTAAATGGATAGTTACGATGAGAAAACGCATACATAATCACTGATTTATCAAGTAAACAAAAAAGCATTTACGCGAAACGTCATATTCAACTTTCACAAAATTTTTACTGGTACAAAGTTTGAACGCTTAAGTACAATAACACACAATATATACATAAATGAATGATTGGGTTTCGTTCTGTTAGACAGGTTACTGAAAAAGCAGAAGATCAAAAATTACAAGGGACGGTGTGTGCAACAGAAAAAGTGAAAAAAAAGTCGGTGGCAAACAAATGGCAAAAATGTGCGACTTTCGATCAGTCTAGAACGATTGGCGCGCGACATCCGGATTTAAGGCACTCTGTACCGGATAGCCGAAGAAGGAATCGTGAGCATCGACATTAATTTCCTCACTTTTCCCTTTTTTTCATAGAAAAAACACACAATCGAGTTCGCTCTCGATCTGATACATTAATAAATTACAACACACACACACACACACACACACACACACACACACACACACACACACATGCGCGCGCGTATTTAATAATTAGGATAAAAACAGTCGTCTTGTCTCTGTTGAAGGCATCTCGCGCGTGCATTCTTTTCCTTTTTCACGAGTACAAGTCGAGCAAGACGACGAACGACCTCGACGAGGTTGCGATTGACTGACGTCACTCTAGTGTCCTTATCAGAGCTCCCAATTCGCGGAATGTCGCTCCTATTTTGCCCGGCATCGTTTGCTTCTTCAGAAGTATGCTACGTACCAGCACCAGCTTCTCGTAACAGGCGATGCACTTGTGATACCTGCGGGAAAAAAAAGGACATTAACTATCAGCACACTAACGTCTGCTTCTGCGCGGCAAGGTCGAAATCAGGGTATCCGGCCTCCTCGCGCAGCTCGCAGAGTCGAAACAGCCAGGCGGTCCTTTACCGTTCCTCTCGGGAGACGTCCACGCCGATCGTATGAAGCGGCGCCTCGACGTTGGACTTGATGACCGGCGCGAAGTTCCGCAATATTAGCCTGAGCGCCGTGCAGCCGACCGTCACGTACCTGCGAGGGGCAATGAAACAAAAAAAAAACAAATCGTTGCAATTACACGAGAAACTGTCCTTTCCCTGAGCGCTTCGCGAGGCGTGGGACGGCTATCGGAGTCGCGTCACACTTGTCAAAGCCTCGTTCTCCCTTTGACGTATCGCCGACGAGCTCGCCAATAAAGACGATCCCCCGGTCAGAGGATACCTGCAGCGGGGGGGGGGCGCCTCCCACCTCGTTTGGCGCCGTTACAAATGTCGCGTCGTCGTCGTCGTCGTCGTCGCGGCGGCAGAACGCCTCGCACGCGTGAAATCGGACTTATCGAGGCCCCCCTTGCGCGCGCGTGTCCAATCGCGTCTTTCTGTCCCGCGGCACTCTTCCCGCGTAACCCCTTCGCTCCCATCGGCCGCTCGGCGAGCCTTTATTGCGGTTGTATTTCGCTTTTCTCCGCCGATTTGTTATTTATGAGGCGTGATGACGGCACGGTGGCCCCGGGGGGAGCCGCTCGCGCGTTTCGTATGCACGACTTTTCACGAGCGGGCCCGTGACGTTTTCATTTCGAGTGGTGCCGAGGTGTGGAGTATTTGGGTTGCGGTTCACGGATGCCAAATTTTCAAATCGTAGTAGAATAAAATGCCGTCATTTTAATAGTCTAATATTGAAGCGCTGTATTTTCCATCGGCTAGGAGAAAGAAAGATAATTTTTTTCACATTTACAATTTTTTTTTTAATATATCATTTTATCTTTATTTTTACGTTAACTAACCAAAGCTGCGCATCAGGACAGATTTCCGAGTCATTGTCGTTTAACAAGTTTTACGTTCCGTAATATTAAAGACTAATGTTGGGAGCAAGTTAAATGAACAGTTACAAGCAACCAAAGTTCGATGTTTGAAAGACATTTTTTAATGCTATGGAAATTTTAATGGAATTGTCTTTTTATAAAAGTTAATCAACTAGTATTTTTCAACAAATATTTAATATTTAAGTCCAATGTGGTCAATGCGTTTGTCAAAATTACATTCAAAGTTGAATATTTTAAAAGTTAGAATTTTGTAATTATTAAATTTTTTTGCTATTTAAATAAAAGTCATAATATTATCATTGAACCTTAACCCACGTATAGTTCAAGCACATTATTTCAAAAGCTCAAATAATCAAGTTTCTTCGTAAAATTTACATTAAAAATCGCGGTAGATGAACAGTACGTTTCTACAGAGTTTTATCGATACTCCAAGGTCCCTCTCCATTTATGCTGTCATCGCAGTATAAAAAAAAAGACACTTGCTATTAGAAAATCTAGCAATCAACAACTTTTGTTACAAAAAAAAAGCCGTTCCAATCAGAGAACCGCAAAAATAGCGACAAGTGCGAGCAACCGAACGGTTCCTCCAATCAAAAAAAAAAAAAAAATAGGCACACGTTTTTTTTTCTCACGCGCGCTAAAAGGCAACAACACATAGCACACGCGTCGCCGTGACGAGTTGAAAAAGGGACAAACAGCAGTTAGGCGAACGCTTATATATAGGGGCATGCGATGTGTCTAATATGCAGATAAAACGCGCCACGTGCTGTTCAATTGAGACACAATCGTTGGGATGTGCGACTACGCCTTTTAACGTCGGCTGTTTGTTTTGATTTGTTGCGATCGATGAATACATTAAGAAAAAAAAAGAAGAAAAGTAGAATCGCTTCCAATCGCGTGTATTGAGATTTACACTGTTTTCGCAAAAGCACAGTATCACGTCAAGTACGATCGGCAAAAAAATATGTATATACATGCTTATACGTTCGTGTAACTGGGCAAAATATTATCCTACGCAACAATTTTCGCATAAAAATCAATATTGATACAACGCGTTACACTCGTACAGCATGGTAAAACGATTGCAAGCCTTCATTAGCAGTCGGCGCTCAGAGATAAGCCAAGCAATCTTAGCTACTATCTGCGTTTATTCTAATTGACACGATATGTGTCTAACGACTAGACGTTCGGCGTATATATTCATCAGCCACTTCCTCGAGAGAACATCGCATTGTATAGGCGCAATGTAACTGTACGCTTTCGCACGAGCTGCCATTGTGTCTGGCATGGGGTTTCTATAGCGCAACGCTGCTGCTTGTTTCCATTCGCGGACGTGAGAGCCGCAACTTTTACTTAAAAACCACTGATTTGGAGATCAGGTGAAAATTGTTGCTTGGCTTGCACGTTACTTTCTGATTTGTTGCTCTAAGGACACGGTTTCCAAACGTTCGCGAGATTTCCGTTGAAGTGTTCGTATTTGTTTTTATCGCAATACGAAATAAAAAAAAAAAAAAAAAAAAAAAACAAACAAATACCGCGGAAAAAAGCAGCCGTTTTACACAGACGTCGTTGAAGAGTCTTGCGTATGTTAATAACCAAAAATATTCAGTCCACTCCGGTTTCGCTCGCGATCTCTGCATTGTACGTTCGGATTTACGAGACGCTTTATCTAACCCCATATGTTAATTTTCATTGATTACGTCAAGGTATATACTGTTCCGCGCGCGACTGCTGAGATATCAGCTTTAAACGAAAAGTAGAGGCGTTTCGTTAATTTGCGCTCGCCAATATTTCATTCATAAAAGAACGAAAAGAAAAAACAAAACCAAGCCACGGATATGTAGAAAGAGCGAAGGCCAAGCGTTTTATCTCCTCGCCTACGCGCGGATCCAATGAATTATTTTTCTTATTATTTCGGGAGAGGCGTTCGCGATATGTTGCGCAGTTTTTTTTCATTTTTTTTCGGGGTCACGACCACCGGATGCAGAAACGAAGAATGTACATGGCGAAATGTGTTTTTTGTTGAGGTGTAGAGCAAGATTTTGTTACTGAATCCTCTGGTAACATTTGTTGCGGGTTTGAAAATGGAAGTTTACACAAGAAATGATCGTGAATTGCTGGATAATATACGCAACGAAATGATTAGCCAGTAAAGAGATTTGTTCGTTCCCATAGTAATTACAATTAATCTTCTAATAAGATTCGAGAAATTTTTCTCCATTGAAACCATAGTGATCTCTCGCTATTTGCTTGAACACAATAACTATTAACATCCACAATAAGTGGGAAGAAAATGAAAGGTCTTCCCCCACCTCCAACAGAAGAGAGCAAAAATCGCGAAACAATGTATGCAACGAGATCAATTACGGCGTTGTGGTAGGTATATTATACTCGAACGTCAGCAGCAGCAGCCGATGTTAATGACCTTAGACTTGCGGCTCGTTTGCAAAGGCGATTCTCATTCGCGACCTAATAATCCATATTCGTACATCATGCGCAAGGCTGCCTTGTTAACTGTGGAATCTTTTTCATCTCTCCCGCATGCAAAATTACCTATCTTTGACTTTCGTTTATTTGTAGCGCGTCGTCGGGTTAGAGTAGGAAAAACACCAGTCGACCGAGGAATTAGATTTTTTTTCCACTTTGATTGACGCCGTAAAAGAGCGTTCATTGGATTTTTGTTTTAGGCGCGTACGTAAAACGTTCCGTGCACGTAAACCCAAAGGCAACATTGCACGTGTGCAGCGGCAAGAATCTAAATATAGACCATCCTCGACAGTTACGCGTGAAATCCAGCATGAGAAAGAAGAAAGGGACGAGCGAGCGAGCGAGCGAGCGAGCGAGAGAGAGAGAGAGAGAGAGAGAGAGAGAGAGAGAGAGAGAAAGAGAGAGAGGAAGTGCCGGAGAGTGTTTGTGTAAAAGGTGGCAATTAGCTGTGTGGCGTGTACACGTATAGGCTAATTGAGTATATTCTCTCGCTCGGTTTGAAGACTGCAACAGCGCAGTATGATGCCGAGGTACGTCAAAAGTTGGAGAAAGGAAATTTCCTTTTCTTGTTAAAGAAATAGGTTGAGAGATGGTGGACGCGAGACATTTCAGTCGGTTGTTAATGACACGTTAGACACTCCGTCCTAGTTGTTTTGCCAATATGCGTTTTCTTCTCTTTCGTTTGGGTACATGCCGGGATTTCTCGCTCTTTGAAGTTTTTGTTGAACTTGACGAACCTGCGTGAAAATACATTCGTTTATTTATTTCCGCGATCATTAATTTATTGCAACTCGACGAGTTGTAAAATTGTCATAAAGGTTCCGCTATGCCGAGGAGAAACTTGCTAAAAATAGATTTGACCACTTCAGAGACTTCAATGTTTTTCTTTTACACTTGTAACAAAGCTTAAAGAAACTTTGCGTAGTCCAGTTAAAATTCAGCATCGCGACAGAAAAGAAAAAAAAAAAGAAACGAAGCTCAACAAAAGCAATTGAAAATAAAAGGCACGGACGAAAGAGTACATGCGCACGCGTCAGTCCGTTGTCACGCATCCCTTTTTCGTACGTTGCGTGCGTACGTCGAATTTCAATCGTCGCGCATTTACATCTGCCGCATTGTCTTGGCTAATTTTGCGAACCCTATTTGATGATAGACAGACGGCTTCTTTATTTTCCTTCTAAATTTGAGATCATCCTCGTACTTTTTTTTTCGACGTAGGGGAGACTCGAGTGTGTGCGATTTCGAGTGGATTATGTTGCGTTTGTGGAGTGTAGTCTGCTGACAGTTTTGTGCAAATTTATTCACGCAATGAGTTATTGCGTAAATATTACTGTGTTAAATATTTTTAACAGTCTTCGAAAAATCTTTACAATGCTAATAATCGTTGGGTATTACGTGGATAAACAGTAATCCAATTAAATAATCAAATGATTGTAACGATTGTAACGACGAACAATGCTCAATTTATTAAATAAGCCCCAGCAGCAATTGAGCTTTATATAAGCCTTCGAAGCATTTAAAGCCGAGTAGTTAGTAATAAACGTCTACCATTTCACGACACAATGTCATCTCGTGTTTTTTTTTGCGAGTTGCGCTTGGCAATTTATATTAATGACTGTAGTTATTGTAAAACGAAGGTTATCTGGCAAATTTACTTTTTGAGATATCTACAATTCTTTTAAAACATTGTCTATCATTTTCGCACATAAGGTTACCGTAAAAGCAACATCGTCTACGAGTCTGTAAGTTCTTAAAACAGTTTAAATTAGCTTCCGAACGCGATATAACACAATGAGCGCTAAGGAAAATGTGAACGTTCAAAGCGGCAGTTTCGCAACGTGTTAAATGAAAGAAACGACTTTTTTTTTTTTAAGAGCGTAGTGCGAAGTAAGAGAGCGAGGCAATCGTAAATCACAAATAGCAATCGTCGGAGAATAAAAAGAGAAACAAACCGTTTTCTCACACATTTAAACTTAATAGTACGAAAGTTTTCCTGAATATATCGATATACGCTTAATTAATCACTGTAAGAGCTGCGTTTTTGACAATCGTGCCGTCAATATTAACAACCACTAATCAAGACGGAGTTAGATGCACGTCGTTCCACTTTATAGTTTCGTGATGTAGCGTCGTTCATCACGGAAAACCTCGATCTCGCGGCACGCGAGCTCAGCTTTCACGCGAAAAAAATAAAAGAGACGACGCTCACGTGCAGTTTCTCATCGGCATTCAATAATAAAACCGAAGGAGTCGCGGTGTAACGCTTAAGAAGCCGCAGCGAGTAATTATATAAGTCAATCGTTCATGAGATGAATTTGCAGAAAAATAACGTCATAGAAAAAATCGTTTCGTTTTTGAGCGACTGTTTTTACACGCAATGCACGTTTGAAGGAGCAGTCGTGTTGTTTTTTATTTTCGTTTTTTCCGAAGGATTTTTCAAACGTACGTGTACGAGATTAGAATTGAATATTTGTACATTGGTTAAACGTATTGAGTAAACATCAGGTGTTAGGAATCTTTGTAAAGGTTTGAGCAATTTTTTTTAATTTGTTTGATCTTTAGTGTCTTTTTTCAACAAGTTAAGTGCGATGTTCAACGATAATGGTAGGTTAATAAAAATAAATGAACGTTTGACAACTCTTGAAAACATTTCAGATATAGACACAAATTATTTGCAATTAGTTACAGCAAATTATGAAAGTCTGTGATTTTTTCGACAGAATAATATGTTATTTATCGTTTTCCAATCCAGGCGAATATATGAATAGTCATCGATTTGGAAATACATATGACGAGTACTTGATGACGGGTTACGATAAGCTTTTACAATTTGAATGTGTGATCAATAATTGACTCATAGCATAACCCGCCTTTGTTCCAAACAGTTTCAATTTTGCAAAAATTCCATTATTACTTTTGTACGTAATATAGCTTATTCTTTTTCTTTCACTATCCCAGCACAAAATAAAAAAGCTACACATTAACTTTCTTTCATTTCCATTAGAAAGTGTCATAGCAGACATTGCCTTCGCTTAATTTCGGAAAAACGCGTGGGCGCCTCTCTATCCTCATAACTTTTCTCATTATTGATTCAACCGTCTGATGGCTTTTATAGAGGCGTGCGCAAAGCATTACGCATTCGAGCGGGCGGAATACATTACGTCTACCTTGAGGTGAATTTTAGTGAGGCCGTGTGCTCGTGCTACGTTACATTCCTTCACCTTTTCGGATATAACGTTTTGGTGTTTTTTTCTTTCAATGAGACCATCACAAATAATGTTAAAAAAATTACTTACATTTCATATCTGCTTTGCAGCAGTTCACCGATTGGCGACAGGAGTGTGCTGCATAAATCTAAAGTCCACATCGCTCTGTGAAAAATATTTTGTTAATTTAATTACTAATCTTTGTAAAGCTTTCGACAAGGTTAGAATATTTTTTTATGTTTGGAAAAAATTAGTGGAAAATGATTGCTAATCTTACTTTGTAGGTCAGTAAAAGATACTGCCACGAAACCATGTTAAACTAAGAAACTCAAAAGATAAGTAAACTTACGGTTTGAGAACAAGAACACCAAGAAGGTCGACGATAACTGAGAGGTCGTTCATCGCCACAGCCGAGTCCACGGCCGACTGCAACAAAAACAAATCACCACGAGTAACTACACAATTTGCACTGTATCACTTGCACAATAAGGTGATGATCATCATTTCAACCTTCATGCCCTTGTTACTCCAGACCGAATAAATAATCTGTAACGATCGATGCCGACTCGTCAATACAGCCATCATCGAGTCGTGTCCTCTCATCATCGTATCCACCACCTCGGTATCCGACATCTCTGCGTACACTCCCATCTGCGTGTAATCCAGCGACGACTGTCCGGAATAATTTTTCTACATCGATATAAACACACAGAAATACATGGTTAATTTTATGCGCATTGATGATGTGAGAAAACGAATGTTGATTATATGCGTTGTGTTTTCGATTGAAATCTCGCGATGAACTAGCATAGCATTTTCTTAACGGAAAAATACTAACCGGCAGAAACGAATCGACATCAAGGCCATAAGGCTTATCAGCGTTCATCGAGATAAAATCATCTGCTTTTTCATGATTCTGCTGTACCACCGACGGTTTCAGCTGAGCCACTCGTATTTCCGTCTTGGGACTTGGTGCCACCTGTGCTCTATTGGGCGGTAGTCTTCTCGCCGACGTTGATCCATTGCCATTATTATTATTGTGGTGATTACGTGCTGACAACGGTGGTGTTGATGATACGAAATTGCGGCCGGTCGATCGGTTCGTTGCTGTGTTTGGTCTGTTCAATTGAGGATCTGATGGACTGTGTTTCAAATTATGAATTCTACAAAAACAATAACCCAATAATTACGTTTTTTTTCAATTTTGGTAATTATCGGGTAAATAATTTATCCAAAAGGAATTTTTGTCAGCTTTAGAAATATTCAATAAAAGACGTAAAATCGCGATAAGAATTATCAATGTAAAAGAAAAGAACAGAGTAGTATTACTAATTATCGATTATTGAGTAATACGTATCAGATACGCCTCTTAATCTCCCTTTGATAAAACACGTAGTTTAGTCTTAATCATTGTTTCCCGCTTTTAACGTTTATCAAATGACTCACTTGACAGGAAAATCACTTTCGTATCCCTCGCCATCCTTAACACTACTCTGTCGTTTGATCTTCGGATAATCCGGACTATTCGCTCTTCCTTTTAATTTGCCATCGTCCATAACTGGTGAAACAGCAGCCATAGGTGCATTCCTCAGCGTTAGTGTTGTATTCGAACGTTGAGGTCCTAAAGGTTTTGGTGGCGGCATCGATCGCTTACCTACTTGCGACAGATTAGTTGTAGAGCCAGTTAGATTTTGACGTAGTGGCGGCACTGGAGCTAGATTCTTTGAATTTTGCTGATTTTTACTGTTTGCTTGAAGATTTGCCCTGTAAAAAAAATAAATAAAATAAAGATGATTATACGATTGGACAGCAAAACTCTTAAAGAAAAATACCTTATCTGACTGGTCGACGAGATCGGTGGAATAGGACTCCTTTGTATTAGAGGCGCTGTAGACTTGATAGGATGAACTCTCACGGGCATAGGTTTTGAAGGCATTGGCGTAGACCCAGGTGAAACTGAAGACATGTTATTTTCGTTATCCTCGCTTAATAAACTCGACATTGAGCTCGACAATGTCCTCATCATCTGCGACGCCGGTAGTGGATCTGCAAATACACAAATCGCCAAATTCATTCAATATTTTATCGAGTTAATCTTTACAAACGAAAAGAGTGTATGTTGTGTGCAGATGAGAAACGGTGAGACCATTAAAAGTTTTAAGAGAAAAAAACACATTACCTGTGTCCTCTGGAGGCTCCGGGAAAGCCTCTGGCTGTGGCGGCGGAGTGCGAGTTACTGAAACACACATAGAGAGACGATGTGGTGGCGCGAAGGGCATGCGTTATACGAATTTTGATGTGCGTTTGTATTTGTCAACTAAAAACTCTATAACGTGATTGTACGACAGCCAAAATTAATCTTAAATGTTATACTTACGAGACCGGGTTGGTTGGAAGACATCTTGATATTCCGTGACGTTGGGAATATCGAAAGTTGAGTCATCGTCTGGATCTGACGCTGATTTATCCTCTTCGATCGTTTTTACATCCATTCTATACAAAAAAAATGTCATCAGACGAACGAAAACAGAACGTTTTTCCATAAGCTTTAAAGTCAAAACTTACGTGTGCTTTTTTAGACTGGCAGGCCGTTCTTTAGAAAAACTTTTTCGCAATGAGTTACCATAAGCGAATGGCGAAGCCGTCGTGTCGTTGCCCAATGGCGACGTTTTCTTCAAATCACAAACGAAAAGCACAATATTAGCAGCGTGGAAGCCCGCGCCAATGAGTTGATTATGAGCAATAGCGATGTCTTGAATCTTGCCCCAGCCGACGGGTACAGTATCGAAAGTTCGCGCGGGTTCCCAACCGTAAACTTTCAGCGTATCTTGACAACCGGCAAACAAGCATTCGCCACCGTGACTGAAAAATATACATCTAACTGGCGAGCCGCTGTTGTGTTCTGTTGACGAGACTAACTGGAACGACTCGAGGTCCCAGAAATGTACAATTCGATCGGCACTACCACTCGCCAAAAGGAACTCGTGAGGATGAAATTCCACGCAAGTTGCTGGACCTTTATGATCAGTAAACTCACGAAGTTGGCGACCTGCTCGCAGATCCCACAGCTGAAAGTTATTTGATAAGTGAATGTCATTATCTTTAATGATCCATTTGATTGATTTTTATAATAAGACGTGAAGCTTAAAATTGGATCATTTAGCAAGATTCATTTACGAGAATGCATTTTAAAATCGCCTTATTAAATCAACCTTTAACGAAAGTTGCTTGACGTTACTACACACCTTAACCATGCCCTCCTCACCGGCACTAGCAATCCACTGTCCATCAGGACTAAATTTTAGACTATTGACCGTCCTGTCGTGGCCTTTATATGTGAATATACATCCTTTCCTTCGAATATCCCATAATTTGATTGCTGTGTCTAAACTACCAGATGCCAGTAATTCACCGTAAGGGTGAAAGTCCATACATCTAATACCCGATTTGTGCCCCGTAAGTGTTCTTGCGAGTTTGGCATGCTCCAAGTCCCAGATTTTCAGGGCACCGGTCTGCGAACCCGCGCATACCAGATCTTCCGTTTGGCCGAAGCGCACACATTCAATTGGCGTTGTGTGACCGCTTAGACTCTGAAAATATATGAGAAGGTTTCGATGCATCTTGATTGGTATTTTATGAGAATAGAGGGACGCGTTTTGATAAATTAACCATTTGGGGAACGATGACGACGAAACAAATATTAATGAATCGTCATGGGTGTAATGGAAAAATTGAACGAATGAGTCCTCGTCTTCATTTTTTTCGTTAAAAATTAAAATTGATAAGTACGTTTTTTTTTTATCGCGCTCATCGTAGGTAACGGGAGTTTGACCAGGTAAGGTCAATTCTTTTAAGACTATCAATCGATAAAAGTCGTCATTAACTCAAAAGTAACTCGCGTGAAAAAGGAAAGATAATCGACCTGAAAGGCATTTCGTACATACCATAATGCAATTTTGCTTGCCAACCGCCCACAGGTTGACCTTCTTGTCATCACCGCCAGTAACGAGGACTCTGCCGGACTTATGACCCAACGACAGGCAATTGACGTTCGACGAATGGGCAACGAAGTCCTCTGCAGAAAAAGACCAATATCATACACATCAACTATGCAGACACATAGGCGATTTCTTGAAAGACCTGTTATGACGCAACGTTGCTTTTCACGCCGAAGCGCGAGATACGTTTAATGTACACACAACTGGATGTATTTGCTGGACAGGTGCATCTCTAATGTATGTTTGCCGCAGCAAAATTTTTAAATTAATAAAAATGGTTGAATATTTTTTTCCATGTGGAGGATTTTCATTTCATGATCTCGTTTTAGTTGAGTTAAACTCAAATTTGTATACTTGAAATTATTCTAAGTGTATTAGTATAGTCGAAAAGCATTGAATACTATTAAATTCTTTATTGTTACTTATTTGATGTTATTGATGTTGTTTCAGTTAGAGCAATTCTATCTTGAAAGAATATTAATTTACAGCCAAATATACAATAATATGAAATAGTCGGACTAAAGTAATTTTAATATCATAATATTCAACAAGATAATTCGTGTGTTCAATTTAAATTCTCAAAGCTGCATAGGCAATGTATATTTAAGAAAAATAGTGAGCAAAGCGAGAAAAACACTGATTTCAAAGAACAAAAACAAAATCTTTATTACGTTGCAACTGAATTTTCATATCCTCTTATCTAGTTTCATTTAGTCAAGGTAAAGCACTTGAGGTATATGTATATGTATAATGAACCATGCACCTGACCAGAAAATGCTAATTTGATATTTATAAGCTATCGCAGAAACAAAAAAGTTATATAGCGTAAGAATATACGCTTATCAGAATTCCACTGGAAAAAGATATATAAAGTTGAAATATAAGAAAGAGAAAACTTTCTATGGGTAGTAAATACATAAAATAAGTGAGTTCCCTCATGATCTGTGCTACAATGGTCTAACACTTATACGCACAGAAGGCTCAAAATGAGAGAGAGAGAGAGAGAGAGAGAGAGAGAGAGAGAGAGAGAGAGAGAGAGAGAGAGAGAGAGAGAAATATCACACACAGAGTCCATTGCACAAGAAGCCTTTGGATCCTTAAGTTTTTCTGGCTCATTTTATTAGTACAACGTAGGCACTCAGTTTAGACACTATACGGTAAAAAAAGAGTACTTACGGAGTTTCCAGGACCTCCTCGTTGACGAAGCCATGGCGACGTGTTGTGGGAGGCCTTATTTGGACCAACACCGCATGATTCGAATTGTAAGTCCTCTCCGGGCAACGTTCGCTCTCGCACTGCTCCAACACGCCACGAAGGAGAGGAAAAGAGTAAGAGAGAGAGAGAGAGAAAAAGAGCGAGTGAAGCGAATGTTCGTCCCACTCTTGTGTTATGTGTTAGCTTGTGCCACCACGCGAGTTGCGAGTTGACGCGAGTCACCGTGCGGTTCGTATAGTGCACCTTTTTCAGCGACCGTTGCGATCGCTTTTCTCTCTCTCTCTCTTTATCTTTCTCTCTCACACTTACTAGTGAGAGGAGACTGACGTTGGTCGTGAGACCTTGAATTTGTGACGTTCGATAGAGCGTTAGAGAGAAAAGCGATTGTTGTGTATTTCGAGATTTGATTGTTAGTCGAACGATCGATTTATCGTGTTGTTCGAGAGATGCTTGAATTATATAGCAACAATAATTTTTTCGGTGCATTTCTTAATCATTTATTGACGGTTGTGAACTGAAAATAGATGATAAATTAATTTAGATTAGTTTATGAGATACTGATGTTGTTTCTAATTAAACGTACCGTAGGTATTAGCATACTTTGTTTAGAGGTTGGAAAATATTTGCACGTGATAAACAATTACAATGAAATTTGATTCACATTTTGGTATTGTAAATAATTGTAAAGATTAAATATACACGCACAAATATGAAACTAAACGTGTTACTCAATGCTTGAACGGAACTCCTAGAGGCAAGTCGTTTGGCATCCGCGGCAATATTCGTTGTTTTTTTTCTGCGCACACAACAGACAGCAGCTGATTTAGTTGACAGCTGATCATCGATCCTAATCACACTTGTTATTACGAACGTCGATAACTAAACGAATCCATGATATTGAGTAATAATTGCACGATGACAATATTCCGTAAATTTAGTCATTATGTACAGGGACAAAGTCCAGCGCCGAGAATACGCGAGTATTTTTATTACATCGATCATCAGGGGATGGTAATTCAATAAACATTTATATTTTGATTCTTTTTGATTGCATATTTGTATGATTGTTTTAGCTATTTCTCGACGATACGAAGATTAAAAATTTTACCTCGTGTTTTAAAGGTATGTTGTTGAAATAAAGTATTTGTCTGTTGTACTATGATAATAATGGTTATGATTATATAATGCTGTAGATAAAACGTTTCTAGCGTTTTTCTTTAAGAGACTAAGGATAAATGATACTGACAGATACAAACATTTTCCATACCTGTCACTATGTGGTAGAGAAAGAAATTTTGTAAGGTGTGATGATTTTCCAATTGTTTTTACAAATGTAATGAAAATAGAAAATAAACTGACTAGGCAAAAGGAAGATCAATTTAGTTATAATCATGCTCATGAGCTATTAACTGTACGTATAAAAATTTCATTTAGGACTAAAATATATGAATTTTTTAATATTGGATATTGTAGGTGCCATTTCAACCAAATAAGATCATCATGAGTGCTCAAACTGGTAGAGTATATCATCCAGCTCCTGAGAGAGTTGGTGGTGTAGGCTTAGTTAAATCAAGTTTAGCTATCGAATTTAGCTCGCTGTTTGAATTTGACGATGGAGAGGATAAATGTCCTACAAAATTTAGGTGGCAGGATAAGGATTATAAAATAGACTCTGATTGGTATACAGAGAAAAATATCAATGAAAGTCATCTGTTGTGAATAATACTGTACAAGATAAAATTGAATTGTATATATTGTTATATTAAATTTCTGATCTTAGGAGTTATCCCTGTAACAGGGATAACTCCTAAGATCAGAAATTTAATAAAATAAAATCATCAAATATCAGGAGTGAAAACATAAGAATTTTTTTATATATTGTTATAAATGAACTTTCATATTTTTGATACTGTTATTTATTAAAATATATATCATTAGCTCAAAAGACAGAACTTATGTTGTTGAATTTTTATTACAAGAACTCAAAGAACATTATGAAACACATTTTTTATATCCCATAAGAAGGTACAACAAAATTACTCTTTTAAACTTCTTATAGCTCTTTCAAACCGATTTATTCAAACATACAGACAATATATACTGGGTCAGCTGAATGTCTATAAATGCATCTGTAAACTGGTACAATTTCTAGGCTTGAAATTCGAATATATAATTTTCGTAACGTACATATAGAAACTAGCTTTGATAATCAATATCAGTGTGTTTATCGTGTAAATACGTAGAAAACTAATAACGACGGGTTTCGCTTGGTTATACAAGTCTTATCTTTATCACTGACTTCCCATAAGAAAGGAATGTTTTATAGTTTTCTCGGCATTTTTAATTAAAAATAGTAATGACAGAAATCGATTTGATTATTATTTCCGGATGCTCTACTTGAACATTTAGATATAATATGCCTGGGAATCGATATTGATTTCTATTCTACTTAGTAAGTTAAACATAAAACAAGAAATATTCGTTGATCATTGAATGCTTTACAAATTCGCGTTGAAAATCACTGAGTGGTATCATTTAAAATTTGTTTTCAAAGTTAATCCGTAATTTTATCTTTAGATGATTTCTTTGGTTAAATGAAATCTTGAATTAAAAAAATTTAATTTAAGCTCTAAGCAATGGATTATGGCAATTCAATGTCGAAAACTCTAGCGGATTTATCTTCAGAAACTGTTAAAGCTTTCTTTCCATCTCTGAAATCAAAGCAATTCAAATTAGACTGCTATATACTAGATGAAAAAAATATAACTGAGATAAAACTTACTTAGAGATACATAAATCTAAAATATCATCAGTATGCCCTAATAGAGTTCTAAGACATTCACCAGATCTACTATCAAAACATCTCAGTATTCCATCCAGACCAGCAGTGAAAAACAAAGTCGATTTCTCCTTCCAAACAATCTTTGATATTCCACTTCCTTGATTCAATTTATGTCGCAGTATCTACAAACAGATTATTTATTAATTATTCGAGAGTTTTTAAACAACGAATTTCATTAATTAAATTACTTTTCTCGCGATATCCCAAATGAAAATGTCACCACTGATAGTACCAGAAGCGGCAATTTGAGACACGTCTTTCTGAAATGCAATAGTTTCTATCCAGTTGCCAGATGCTTCAGAAACTTCTTCATCTTTTTCATCATTTGTAGAATTTCCTTTCAAATCTTGTAGAATGCTAATTATCTGAGAGTAAATTGTTTTGTTAATGGTAATAAAAATTAAAGTGATAATAAAAATTAAAAATAATAAAGATTAAAGTGAATTTAAATGACTACTACAAATATACCTTGCCAGTGTTAGCAGAACTAACAATAGTTTTACCATCAACCCCAGCAGACAAAATTATATTATTGTCTAAATGACAGTCTATTGATGTAATGGCAGAAGTATGACCCATGTTCGATGTGATTGTTGATATAACAGAGCAAGATTTTAAGTCTATCAATCGAATAACACCATCATTGTAACCGACAACTATTCTTCTTCCTAGAAAAATGAATAAGTTAAATTTTTTTTCATACCTCTACAAACTTTCATCTTTCAACAAAAAAATGTTGTTTTAATTTTACTTATATGATGTAGTAAAATTTGAAACAAAATAATTCTTACCATCCGGCATAATACAGGATACATCAGGCTTCTGTCCAAAACTTTGAATAACTTTGCATTCTCCATCTGTAATTTTCCACATATACAATTCTCCGCTTTCAGAGCCAGCAATAACAACGTGTGCCACTGGGTGCCATTGCATCCACTGTTGAGGACATTCACTTTAACACAAATAAACAACGGTATAAAGCTAAATCTATTTATAATCCAATGACTCACTGTAGCATCACCCATTGAGTTGTCGCTCCAAACTATACTCCAATCTAATGTTTTGCGTACCCTGATCAATCCATTCATATCACCAGTGGCAAGATACTGATCATCATAACTAAAGTCAGCAAATATTATACTCTCTTTATCATCAGCAGCAGTTAAAATTAGCTCTCCAGTAGATGTACTCCACACATATGCTTTGTCATCCTGACCACCTGTCACTGCGTACTGGCCATTCTTACTCAATGAACCACAAAAGACAGAATCTATAAGGATTTGTAAAAGTAAACTTCTGTTACTTAACTTAAGATTAGTTTTAAGTTATAGTATATACTAGTATGTTTGTCAAAGACAACAATGGCATCTTCTCTTTCCATCATCTCCATGATATCTCCATCTTCATCAGCCATCTGCTCTCCACCATCCTCAATACCATCTTCTTCGACCTCATAATCTTCCACTATCTCCACATCTCCAATGACTCCAGCATCATCGTCGATTTCCTCTACTACCTCCTCCATATATGGTGAAGCCGGTGGCGTTTCGTGATGAACCATCTGAATATTGTTTCGACACAAATGAGTAATAACAAACGTGTACGGAATAACGTATTTATTGTGGAATTAATCCCGACAATGAGCCGTTTACAACTAGGATTTTAATCTTATTTCATCAACGTGACACAACGTTTATCGACGTTGTTATCCTGGCAACGCTGAAAGCACAACTGCCCGGCACTCGCGCGCGGCATCTCATACAAATCCTCGGCAATAAAATTTCAACAGTACTCAAGTTCCACGCGTAACAGAGTATATTAATACTGAAACCTTGTAACTCCAAAAACAATCAATTTACTCACCAATTCCGATTACTCAATGTATAAAAATGTACTCGTAGTATCCTTTAGATGTTTTTAACCTGTAAATATGAATAGCAGAAGAAGTGTGTATTAATTTATTCTACTCCGTTTTGGTTCTTGCTCCGTGTGGAGGAAGAAATGTGCTCAATATACTTTTCCCTATTTAAGCAGCCATCTTTGTCACATGACCGTCGCGATACACTGTAAATAATATCGATTAAAACGCCGACTTTATGAAGGTGTGGGATGGCGCAATCATCGTACACACGCGCATTTGCCGGTGTGATGCTAAAAGCCGAAATAATAAATGTCGTCACTGCTGATAAGCCTCACCGGCGCATTCTTTTTAGTACGGATGGGTGTTTGTAAGCATGGGTAAAAGTAATAAAGTAGCTTTTTTATGGAAATTTGAGCTTTCGACGGCACCAAAGCATATCACGTTATTTTGGCTTCCTTGCAGGTTACACGACAATGGAAATTATACGGCTTAAGCTATCCAAGTGAGTTATGTATCATAGCTTTTCATACGATGCATGGATGGCTTTGTTTTCTCCAGGCAAGGGCATTTGAAAAATATGTTTGTCGTGGATAGAAGAATTTTCTTTTCTTTAAGAATTTTATTCAGGTTTCTAACAAAATATTTTCTTCTCCATTTCTGTGGATTTTATTTGTCATTTATTGAGAATTTTTCACTATGGACAACATGCGTTTTTCTTTGCAGTAAGGCGTGGGTTTTCTGTGAATTTCAGAAATTAATAAGTTGAGTTTGAGTTAAAATTATTAAAGATTAGGTACTAGTAATGTTATTTTTTTATGTAATAAAAAACTTTGTCTTTCAAATAGAGTTAAATTTAAAAATTAATGGGCTTTCCTTTTGTCTGCAGGATTATATCGATCAAGATATAATAATTTTGAATAAACTACAATATGGCATGTAGGCAGCTGTCTTCTGATTCTACAATAACAGATCTTGGTGAGAATGACGATGAAGCAGAAAAAGAAGAAAGAAGATCAAATTCATCTAGTAGTTCTGCTTTTGCAATGGTCAATTTAACTCAGGAAGAAATAAACTATCAAATTGACCAGTGTTTGAAACTGAATGCAGCAAATAAGATAAATGACAAAAATGCATTCCAATTAAAAATGATAGATTTCCTGGTTTACGCTTTAAAAAAACAGAATTCAAAAATTTCCAATTTACAAATGGCAAGTGTATGCTTGGATGTTAGTGGTAAGATTTATGGGTTCAGAGTTGATAAAGTCCACTCTGATTTGCTGAAGATTGTTGGTGCTTCAAGAGGAGAAAAAAGACCTCATGAGAATAATGCAGAAAATTTGTATAATCAGGATGCCAATGGCAATATGATAAGTCAACCTATGAAAAAAAAGAAACGAAAAAATCACTTATTATCTTCAGTGGAAATACTCAAAGGAAAAGTAGAAACATACAATCCATTATCTATGCTAGATAATCAACGGGACATGCAAGCGTCAGATTGTCTCTATCAAGCCAGATTACCAAAACATGTAAATCAAGGAATTGCCCTAAATTTATACAGTGACATAGTTCTTGATAGATTACCAATAGATAGATATAATTATACAAGTTTTTTGATCCCTAGCATTGTAGATTATACTCATGATCAAATATGCCCATCATATGCAGACTTTAAATTCCTTGACTGGTCTATAGAAGATATGCCAACCAATGTTAGTGAACCAATTGAAAGTGATAGTGAATATCATTTTAACATTGATGCTCCAATAGTAGACAATGATAAAAACGAAGGAACTATGAACTACAGAAATGATCAAAAAGAAAGATTCAACAAAACAATACTAAATTGTGATGAAGATCAACCAGAATTGACCGATTTTCAAGATGTAATATCTAACAATCCAAATCCTGATATAACTTATGAATATTCTTATATTCATGATAATCACAGTATACACTTAGTCAGACCATCCCATTGGCGAGTACACATCAAAAGAGATATTACATATCATGAAGCTGTTAGATCACAAAGAAAAAGGAGACGAAAAAAGAAAATTAAGCTGCAGTTTGCGGAAGATGCCAAGAAAGTAGCTGATTCAAGGTTTGTCCTTGCAAACAAACCGCTTAAATTATTAAGAACAACTTACATGAATTGGTTACATGACCATATTACTCTCCCATATTTCATGCAACATGATAAAAATCGTTTTTGCAGTTACTTCACCAATGATAAAAAAATGAATTTTTCTGATTCTGGTGGCAAAATTAAAAACAAAGAGGAAGATATAAGAGACAGCCAAAATGACAGTTTTAATTTTTCAAATTTGGGGAATGACATTCATAACAATGAGGATTTTCAATTAAACATTGATGAACAAGAAAACCAAATAATAGATCATTCATTCGTGTTTTCTGATTCAGAGCTACCATTACAACAATCATGTAAGGAAGCTTTCCTTGGAGAAAATTTGGTTTCTTTGCCTAAATTAACTGATAACATTTTCATCCCATACTCTCCAATGGCTAAGAAAATTAATATGCGTCAATTGAAGCAAAGCATACATCACTTTCTGCATAACCAAGAGACCAAAGAATTCAGCCAATTATACAGAGAATTGCCAGCCAAACTTTCTAAAGTTAACGCTCAATCTCTGAGTCCAGGATTGGCGTTTATGTGTATACTTCATGTATCACATGAAAAAAAATTAACTTTGAAAGTTAATTCAGACTATACAGATCTAACAATAAGAAATTGTAATAAAGTCTAATGCTAATTCAATTTCACATGTGTAAAATATAATTTTGAAAGTCTGCATGTATTAAATGAGCCTAGCTATATAGTAAGTAAATTGCGATGCAATAATCGTGTAAAATATTATTTTCAATTGTTTTATCGTTTATAGTGCCTTAATAATGTAAAAAATCATGTTATATTGACTAGATTTATACACGCTCGGCTGTGCATATAAAAATAACGTACTACTTATTAACAAATGCAAAACTAATGTATGTACTGAATTATAAATTATGATTGTTATTACATGTTTTTTTTTGTTACTTATATGTATATATTTGTGATATATATCTGCACAAAAAATTCTTGTTAAAAATAACCAAAATGAAATTTCTGTAAATAAGCTATTTTTGTAATTATATGAAATTAAGATGAAATATTTTACTCAAAAGAATAAAAACATTAACTCTAAAATGAATTTTATTAAATCAAAATTATTTACCCAACCATATACGCGTATCATATTCACATATACAGAGAGCGCATGCGCATCAATTTCTGAGTTTCGCAAATAAAATAAAAAACGTAGCAGTATCCACGCACACATGCGCATCTACACCTGCGCCCAGTAGCTGTTCTGTTCTGTCTGATCAATTTCCAATTCGACGCATCGCACGCCAGGGCCAGAAAGCAGTAGTCCGAAGGCGTTGTACCGCAGCCACTCGAGACACGACAAAAAACCGTCGCAATGGTAAGTTGATTTTTTTTTGCTCCTCGCGCTGTTGACCTTTCAATCGCGAGGCCAAAAAGGAGTCGAGATTTTTCAAGGTGTTGACGGGGTAAAGCAAGAGAGAGAGAGAGAGTAAGATAATCGATTTCCTTCCGTATGAACTTTATCTCTTTTGCTCTCACGGGGGATATAACATGTACACAAGACCCATATACTTTATTCCATAATCACATCGTGATGCATTTCATCTGTTTACGTTTTTCAGGGCAACGAGAGCTCGCTACCCATGGAGCTTTGCTCTAATTGTGAGTATAAACTTTTTATTCATCAGTAATGTGCTTTTGTGGACAAGGCACTCCCGGGAAATAACCTTCATTGCCACGGGAGCTTTCAAGCTGTTATTTTGGAATTTTTGTTCTTGCCAGATTAGCGTGTCGCTCGTTCGCCTTTGTGTAAACATTAGTTGATTACCTAAATCTCATTTAACATTTCAATCATGTACCCGTGGAGCGTGAAGTGTGCACGAACGTGTGTCTGTGTGTGTTTATGTACGTAAACATATTTTGGCACTTGTTAATTTTCTGTTGTTATGTGTGTATTCAGTCGATGCAGACGAAATTAGGAGGTTGGGTAAGAGATTTAGGAAACTGGATCTTGACAACAGTGGAGCATTGAGCATTGATGAGTTTATGTCGTTACCTGAACTTCAACAAAATCCTCTGGTCCAGCGTGTTATAGATATATTTGATGCAGATGGAAATGGAGAGGTAGATTTTAAGGAATTTATTCAAGGTGTATCTCAATTTAGTGTTAAGGTGAGTCTTTCAAGCCTGTTTACCGCTGCCATGTTCGCATTCATCTGTTATGAATAATTAATGGAATGATTATTTGTTTCAGGGTGATAAAGAAAGTAAACTTAGATTTGCGTTTAGAATTTATGATATGGACAATGATGGCTTTATAAGCAATGGTGAACTGTTTCAAGTGTTGAAAATGATGGTAGGAAACAATCTCAAGGACACTCAGCTGCAACAGATTGTCGACAAGACAATACTTTTTGCAGATAAAGATGAGGATGGAAAAATCAGCTTTGAGGAATTCTGCTCTGTAAATGTTACATTTTAAATGACATACTATTATTGTGGAATTCTTTATACTAATTGTATTAACTAATTGTTTGCAGGTTGTCGGCAACACTGATATCCATAAGAAGATGGTTGTCGATGTTTAATTAATCAAAGTTCTTGGATGTGTAAAAAACTTTAATAACTAATAAGTGCAATAACTCAATTGGGTATTATCATGAAACTAGCCATCACCGCCACTACTACCACTTCCTATTTGAAATACTTGTTCTTTCCGCCGTCGCTTGAGTTCCATAATCGTATGCACACTTGCCTTCAAATCGCATATCTACTTCTTGCCGACTGCCTTATTTTGTACTCGCGACTTTTCAAGGCGAAACGATACGTGCAATATACTTTAAAAAAATGATCTTTCTCTCTTTTCATCACTTTTTCTCCCACTCACTATGTCTCTCTATCTCTCTCTGCTTTATTCTCTATGTGCTCCATCTCCATTTTCAATCAAATCACGAGCAATCTTTATGATAATACCCAATTTTTACCTTTGTATATGTATAAGCGATAAAAGCAGATCTATTTAATTAATTATAGGATGAGAAGAGTTGGAAACTGATCTAAAAAAAAAAAACGGATCAACCGAGTAATCAATGAGTAAAAAAAATCACGTGATTGTCATCTTTCATAAAATATCAATAAATTTGTATGAGAATCCACATTATATTACAAAAGTAAAGTCGCTATGATTTTCAAAATTACATAGCGTTTAATCATCATTACATAAATGTATGATGATAAAAGAAAAAAACAAAATATCTTGATCTCTTCTTGTCCTTTGATAAACGGAGGCGCTATTCTCGCTACAAAATAAAAAAAGAATTCTTATAGTAATCTTTAAGCACTCTCCGCTCGTGGAGGGGCCCCCTCGTTAACAGGGTCCCTCCTTCACGTACCTTATTAACTTATCGTTACCTGCGAGGATTATACACTTGTAATTGTAATTTATATATATGAGCGAAATGAAGAGAAACTGCAGGCTAAAAAAAATAAAAAATAACGTGTACGACAGTTTAAACTTAGCTTACATTCGCCTGTTCTCGTGCCTGCATAGAGAGAAACAAACAAAAAATAAAATAATAGCAAGCCTCGTCGTTTTTCTTTCTCCGTTTACACACATTGAAATTTCGAACATCGAATATGTGATTTTTTCTTATACATGATTGTACTTTTACTTTTCAATTTATTTATTATTTTTGGTCCGTCGATCATTATTGAATATTGTAGCAAAAGCCGAAGAATCTTATTGTATGCGAAGTTATGTTTGTTTTGTTTTGCAATTGTTGCGGCATCAAATGTCCGATATGCACTTTTATTGTTTTTATCATTGAATTGTTTATCTTAGTAGGAAGAACCGATAGACCGCAGAGTATCGCTAGTTTCTTTTGTATTGATCTAAGATTTACGGATATATAATATCTTTTACCTTTACTGCGCCCTGGATTGTTATACTTTTGCGTTACATATGAAAACATCATTCACACAATTTAATAAAAAAACCCACGAGGGGAGATGACTGCGATAAGCAATTATATATAATTGTATATAGCCGTATGTGTTCAATAGATACTTACGTATATGATTATATATAACTGTTGGCACACAATCGCATTATGAGAGCGAGAAAAAGAGAGAGAGAGGGAAGGAGAGAAAGAGAGAGAAAGAGAGAGAGAGCGAGAGAGAGAGAGTGAGTGAGAGAGTGAGTGAGAGAGAGAGAAAGAGAGAGAAAGAAAATAAAACCAAAAAGTCATTTGTCAAAACTACCCACTCACACTCACTTTCACTTGTTTATAGTTTATTCGCGAAAATGTGCTCATCGAGAGAAAGAGAGAGAGAGAAAGAGCGAGAGATCGAGAGATCGAGAGAGAAGATCCAAAGGTATGTGTGTATCCACAAGTCTTACCAATTAATCGTGCAAAAGACTGACACAAAAATATTTAAAAAAAAACGCGAGTGGGACCCTTGCGCATCTCCAATCATCGTGTCTCGTGCGGTTATTTAAGTATCAATATGTTATATCGATAAGGAAGGATTGAAAAAAAATGATAAAAAAAAGAACTAATGAACATACGTCTTGTACTCTAATAAACCGTTGTAACTGTTTTTTCTTATTATATACGTGGTCTCACCGATGTCCTATGAAAAAAAGTCTTGGGGGACATCGACTAAGTCGAATCTCATACACTATATTGTTTACTTGAAATTTCTTTGGCGTTGTGATTGTGAAAAAAAAAACCCCAAAAAAAACAACAATACAAACGAAAATAAAGTAAACAAAAAAATCAACTGGTTCAAATAATAAGAGTACGATTTTTATTATTGTGTAAAAAAAATAATGAACGTTGCATTGTCTCGCATGTTGTTGTTGTTGCTGTTTGTTAGGAGATCTTTCTCAACTGATAGCCTGCAACTCAGCTCGTAAGATTTTGCCTGAAGGATTCCGTGGTATTGAATCCACGAAACGTACGCCACCGGATAGTTTCTTGTACGATGCAACCTGTGGGTTTGTTTTGAAAAAATCGATGAATTTGTCGAATAGACAATTATTTTTTATGATGTCGGGCGAAAATTTAGCAAAGATCTTCAAAACTTTTGAATAGTTTTGAAAAAAAATTAGAATCTCACTTTATATTCTTTAAGTAGCTTTGAATACTGTTTTGTAATTATTAGTTTTATAAACACTAAGAGAGAAAAAAGAGGGATTCACCTTCGGCGCAACAAACTCCTGCACTTGTTCAGCGCTGATCTCCACTCCGGGTTTTTTAACGACGTAGGCACGTGGAATCTCTCCAGCCTTGTCGTCGGATACTCCAACAACAGCAACGTCGGCAACGCCGGGTATCTCGAGAATCAACGACTCGAGTTCCGTCGGCGAGACCTGCAAACGCAAAACGACGATATGTTATTTTTCTCTTTTTTCGCTGGCTATTATACTACAAATAACAAATATATATATATATATACATATACATATATACACATATATATGTATATATATAGTAACGTCAAGCTACTAAATAAATTGAACACGTCGATAAATCAGCGCGCTTTTCTGAGAATTAGAGCAAAACTTCAACCAATATACAATTAATTATTGAATTATTATCGCATTTATCTGGCTGGAGCCAAACAGCGTTGCGAAGAGAACTTGGAGGTCATGTAGAGCCTAAGGTTCTGGTTAGCAAGGAAAAGAGAGAGACTTAGGCTACGTTTTCTCGTGAGAGTTAGTCGTCTCGAGTTGAGCTACTAAGTCAGGGATAGGTTTAGGAATGGCAAGGCAGGCCACTGAATAAGCGAACTGATCTCAAGTGAGTGCTGAGACTTTATTCTCTCTTATACAGGGTTCGCGCTGCCGGGCATGCGGAGTCTGGACTCCACGATGCCGCGGCGACGAGCCAATTTATACTCGCGAAAGCGGCCTTACTTTACTCTCGATAGCTCCTACCACGCTGTGAAAATAAGTCTTAATTTTAATTAATTTTGTCGATAAGTCTACTCTAATTGCTATGTCACCATGCTAGTTTAATTACAAATTGTTTATTTATTGATAACTTCGGTCTTTAAATTGTTATTGTTATGTTGAAGTTTTGCTCATGTAGCTATAATTGTTCTGGTTCCTCTTATGCGCTCTTAATGCGCTGTTGCACATTTTTAAATTATTAACGATTAATTGTAATTTTTTTTTGACTGTAGGACGAATTCGGAACTGCATTTAGAATTGTAATTCGGAACCAAATTGATTATAAATATATTTTTTTGCATTGGAATCCTTAAAAATCAATGCTTTTGCAAATAAACATCTTTCGCAGGGCATGACGTCATGCACCATATTTAGTTATGTTTTGTTTGAGATTATTCGAACATAATAGATAACATAAGCAAGACCTTGCCTTGATCTAGACCGACGATATTCAAATTAGTTATGTTTTGATCGCGCATTTACTTTTATGGAAAATAATCAGCTTAGACCGTTACAATATACACACACACACACACACACACACACACACACACACACACACACACACACACACACACACGCGCACGCACACTATCCCTTCGGTGAAAGTAATACGTGTACGTTTTTACCAGTTTTTTAAAAATAACATAAAAAAGAAAGCGAATCAATGCAAGAGACGATTAAATTTGGCTCTCGCTGTAATTATAAAAAAAAATTATTCTCTTTGTAATTATCTCAAACTATTCTCTATCTGTCTCTAATTCTCTGTCTGTCGATGCTATGGATTATCGAATTGTTACTACTACTGTTGTGCATAAGTAATAAACAAATATATAAGCGTGTTTGTTTCTTTAACGAGTTAGTTTTAATTTTTCTTTCTATTCAATTTTCCCGCATTAATCCCCGTAACTGACTGTCACGTTTTGAAAATGAACTATTTTACTCGACTTGCGCTGCAACATTTATTTTTATTCAGTCAATTTGATACGGTTTCTGATTTCGTATAATCAGATAATTATCCTGAATTATTTCAAGTCGACAAATAATCGTTAAATGACGGTATTGAGAACCGGACGCCAAAGCGCCAACCTTAAGGTGCGATACTTGCCGCGCGCGCACCTAACCTCCTCAATGTGTCCGGCCGTAGCGCCGCCGTTCTCGGGTGATGCGTGATCGCAGTGTCGGTCCGCCAAGCAACTCGTATCAATCGTTCCTCTCACTCTCTTTCTCTTTCTCTCTCTCTCGCTCTTTCTCTCTCTCTCTGTCTCTCTCTCCTAGTTTGCAATCTTCGTCGCACGCAAACAAATAATATAGCAGTAAGTATCACACGACTGCGACTCGATTTATCACAACGCTAATAAAGCAGCTATTCCTATGATCAGCAGAATGGAAAACCCGGAGGAGGTGCTGCAGGCTCTGGACGAGTTTCAGAAGTTGCGCCCAAGCGAGATCCCTAAAGAACTTGAAGATTACTTGTGCTGGGTTGCGAAAACCGGCGACCCCGTTTACCAATGGGGCTTAGTCAAGGCGCTTTTTCGTGAGAAGCTCACTCGCGTCATTACTGAGTTCTACGAGAGCTGTCCGTCACTCGACCTCACTCCCTGTCCCAATGTCGAGCCATTCAATTATGATGCGATGAAGAGGAATCTCGTCGAAAGGCTGGAGAATTTTGTTAATGCACCATTTACTGTGCAGCGAATTTGCGAGTTGCTCACTACACCCAGAAAGGAGTACAACAGGGTAGACAAGTTCATGAGAGCCATCGAGAAGAACATTTTGGTGGTCTCCACAAGAGAGCCTGGAGCCAATGGTAGACGCAGTGAGAATGGCGACAACCTGGTCAATGGTTCAGTTGATGATGAGAGTTCTCACCATGAGCAGAGTAGCAATGAGGTCGACATGGAAAATTGGGTTAAAGACTGTACAGCCAGCACCACTGTGCCTCTACACAACGAGGAAGCCGAGAACATGGAGAATGGCTTGAAGAGCAGGATAGAGCCGCAAATTTCTGTGGCCGATGCAACTGCATCTAGCTTTGTTGTCAGCTCCTCCAATGATTTCTCGCCTACAACTACTGTTTCCAGCCAAGATAATATAGCAGTGCAAAATTTGAGTGGTGTCCACCATGAGGCTACTGGAACTATCATTGGAGATGTATCAGATGTCATTATGAATGAAGATACCAGTTCCCAGCCTAGTTTGGAGTTGGAAAGCGACGAGAGTGACAGCAATGACTCCAAAAAGCTCCAGACTACGTTCCAGGCGAAAGACTTTATGTTGGAAGAAGAAAAATTAACTAAGGAATATTCAAAAGCTGTTACAGAGAAGAAACCTGGTGGAAGTATTGAGGACTCTGAAGTTGTTAACAAGGATTGTGAAAAGCTTATCACATCTACTTATGCTGATGAGACTGATGCTGCTGCTGGTGACTTAATTAGTACTGATAAGACGGACAATGTTGACGGTGAGTCTGCAGTAAATGAGGTTGAAAAGGTACTTCTGAATGAAGCACAAACTAGTGAGTCAAGTGAATTAGAATCTAATGCTCCTATAGACAATTTTGTACCAGTGGAAGAAAATTTAAATGTAAAGAATGACAACAAGGAGAGTTTTGTTGTAGACTCAACAGAAAGTCTGAGCAAGGAAACATGTGACACTGATGCAAAAATAGATAGCAAAATTGAATCACCAGAAAAGAGTGTCTCAAATGTGACAGAGTCAATTGAATCTTCTGCAAGCCAAGCTGCTGAACAGGTAGTACCTGCACAGCCTATCACAGCCGAATTAATCAAGCCAATTGTAGAGGAACCCCTTGTAGAAACGACTGATCCTACTACCACTACTAGTGTTAAGCCAGAAAGTGCTGAACTAACGATAGAGGAAACTACAGAAGAGGAGGTAAAGCCAACAAAATCCATAGTTCCAGATCCTATTCCTATTGTTGAAGAGCCCAAGGAGGCTGAATTATCATCCAAAGACTGGGAAAATTCCACGTCTCAAGCAGAAGAGATGAAAAAGGATATAGAAGCAACTATTAATAATGGTTTGACAGAATCCTTGGAGCAGCAAGACGATAGTAGCAAAATGGTTGTGACTGGCAGTGAAGAAACTCCAACGATCAAGGCAGTCACAGTAGCAGCGGAATCGATGGAGGTAGACAGTGAGGCGGCAGCAGCACAACAGGACGAGCCAATGGAGCAGGAGATGACTGAGGCTATGAGCAGTTAATGACGAAACGTATCCTAGGAACTCTGGTCTTTTTCTACAGATTAATGTAATCGTCGATGCGCAAGGCTAAAGCAAAACACACTTGTGTACAGCGCCCCTTGATTTTTTTAAAACAAAATAAATTTTTGCTACCCCCGTGACACTGCATAGATAGTACGAAAAGAGTGGTTTTGCTGACGATGACGACGATGACTGAGTCCCGCCAGCAGGGATTAACTTCTTTTCGAATTGACTATATCTCTTCCTATATGCAGGAGCGAGCGATCACTGCCTGTTCTATCTGAATAATGATAATCACGAGAGTGAGGGACTCGACATACACACATGCTGACAATTTTACACAACCTATCTGTATACGTCGCGTATTTAATTTAATTTTTCTTTTTTTCATTTGAACCGATGATATTTGTATACGAACTTAATATTTCCTTTTCTTTATCGTAGATTTTGTAACGCGGAAAGACGAGACTCGTTAGACTCTATTGTTGAGTTTGGGCAGCTCTTTCTTTTTTTCTTTTTTTTTTTGTAGTATCGTTAAAAAAAACTGTGAACGATTTAGTGGGGAAAGAAAAACAGTTCGTTTTTTTTCTTCTCATCCTTTGACAGCGACGTGTATTTTGTAATGCATATAGTGATAACGTAAATAAGTTTGAATTAAGAATTGTAAAATCAGTAATTATAAAAGCCTATGAGTATAGTTTAAGATAGCTGTGTATAATTATTTTATAGTAAAATACATGGAGATTACTAACAAATGATGAAAACAAAGATTGGCTGGCATAATTTTTTATTTGTGTTCCTCGACTTTCCTGTATTTCTCTTTCTTTTTATTGCTTTATACACAACCAATTGTGCGAGACGAATATTTTTTCCTCAGAACTTTATTTCTTAGCGCAATAAATGTGCCGTGTAGATTTAAAAAATGTAATAACGATCTATAATATTCAAATAAAAGATTTCGTTACCGTACACACGCAAAACTCACCTGATTACCCTTGACCTTGATCAGCTCCTTCGTCCTATCGACGATGTAAAAGTACTCGTCCTCGTCGTAGTAAACGACGTCGCCGGTGTGCAGCCAGCCGTCGATGTCGATGGCTTCGCTCGTGGCCTTCGGATTATCTAGGTAGCCTTTCATCAGCTGCGGACCCTTGACCAAAAGTTCGCCACTCTTGTGCGGCACACCGACGTCTTGGCCGTCCTCCAAATCGATGACGCGGGCTTGAGTCGACGGCAGCAACTGTCCGCAACTTCCTCGCTTCGATTGCGGCATCGTGTACGGAGTGATCATCAAACTGGGACTTGTCTCTGTCATTCCGTAGCCTGTGCGAGATTTTTTTACTGTTGCCAAACCGTCTCTTTCGATCGTTCAAATTCTATTGTCTTTTCTATTCCGAACGTGTGAAATTTATCACGGCGCGCACTTTGCCAATACGCAATAAGTTCAATCGCAAAGGGAGATTGTCGTTTTCATGGCGGTTCTCGTGTTTTCCTTATGGGCCGAGGCTCACGATTAACAAGCAGTCGTTGGCAAAATTACGAGCGATCGATTCAAAAAATAAACTCGCACAACAAAAGCACTTCAACGGAAAAAAGAAAGCTCTTGATGCAAAGCGTTCGATATAACGTTTTACTGAAAAGTACGCTCGATCGGTATTCTTTTTTTTTTTAGCGCGTAACCCGCTATTTTCTGCACATATTACGGAATAAGAGCCAAGTCTAATAATAATAACGAGCTGTGCATTTGGAGCGGTGACCCGCAAGCTTCAGTCCGGGGCGTTCTATTACAATCATATAATTCCAAGCTAAACGGAAAAAGAGACGGCTGCATCGTCGGGTACCTACCTTGCGAAAGCACGCAATTGTTCCTACCGATCTTCTCCATAAACTTGTCGATCAGACCGCTCTTTAGCGGCGCAGCGCCCGAGTAAACCTTGGTGACGCTCTCCAGCTGTTTGGCCGTGACTTCGGGATGGGTGATGAGGAATAGCAGCAGTGACGGCACGACGAACAGAACCGTGGGCCTGTACTTGACCAACGCGGCGACGTAGTCCTGCGGCGTGAACTTGGGTATGCACACGAGGTGCATGCCAATGTAGGTGAGGTAGTTGAGAATGGTGTTGAAGCCGTAGATGTGAAAAAACGGCAGGACAGTGAGTATGGTCTCTTGGGAGTCCGCCGTCGGCTCCTCGAAGCGTATCAGTGACGGATGCGTCAGTTGCAGGATGTTGACAATCAAGTTACGATGGGTCAGCATCACGCCTTTCGGGATTCCCGTCGTGCCCGAGCTGTACGGCAGCACGGCCACGTCGGTTGGCAACACCTTTGGCAGCTCCACATTGGACGACGGATTGAGCAGGTAATCCAGGCCGAACACTCTGAGAGAAGGAAGGAAAGGAAGAAAAAAAAAACAATCTAGTCTTCCGTTGTACTTGTGTCGCGCGTGTTCGAGCTTCGTTACGAGCGACTTTGCGCTTCTCGACGACGACGACGACGACGAAAGGGGACAGGAATTGGCGCTGCTCGCCAAAGAGAAACTGCCTACGCTGGCTTATTCCAGCGAGCGACGTTTGCCCGTTTACGGACGTGTCCTCGATTCTCCGCGGTTACACACTCACTTGTGCTCGGGTCTGGCGTCCCCGCCGACGTTGATCGTGCAGTCGTAGTCCTCAAGCTTCTCGGACACGGCGGTGGCCAGCTGGACCAGTTGGGGAATGGTGATGATGCACCTGACCTTGGCGCTCTGGAACTGGCGCGTCAACTCGGCTGCAGTGTACAGCGGGTTGGCGAACGTCACCACCAGACCGGCCGAGAGACTCGCGTGCACGGCTATCAGGTATTCCGGGACGTTCGGCAGCAGGAGGCCGACGCGGTCGCCGGGCTTCAGGCTGGTGTTGCTCAGGAGCGCGACCGCGCCGCGTCGACACAGTGCCGCGCTCGTCTCGAAGTCGTAGCTGCGACCGCTTATGCCGCACGTCTGGGACAGGCGGGGGCAACAGGTTAAGCACATGACTCGCACGGGTCGCCGCGGGTTTCGGTGCGAGATCAGTCGAGCGGTCAGTCGGAAAAATGTGCAGCGCCGCCAATGCTGTGCAAAACTGCCTGAGTCGCGCTCGCCAGCTAAGATCAGTGCGGCTTTCGGTACACGCGGAGAAAACTTGCCCGTAAAAATTACAGATATGGTCAAGGTAGAAATTACGGTGACGCATCGTAATCCAGTAACGAGAGTGACGAGTCCATAAGTATCAACGTATGTCAAGAGAATTTTTACGTTGATAGTACGCAAAAATGTCGGAGCCGCCCTTGTAATATTTCTGTATATTGCACATGTCCAACAATTTACCAACAAACTCATCATCGTGAACTTTGTCAAATCAAACTATCTTTGTAATTGTTGTAATCAGCATTCCATACGGTAATTCACGCGGGAAGGTTTATTTACAGAGAAAAATTTACTGAGCGGCGCATTATAAAAAGAAGTAAATTCCGAAAGTTAGGGTTGTCAAATTCATCACTCAATTATTTTGAGGAGTTTCTTATAAAAAAAATATCGCATAATTTGTAAACATCACAAATATGAAAATATTGCTAAAAAAAATCCATGTTTCATCAATTTGGACGAAAAAATTATAATCAACATAAAAGTACATGAAAATTTGAAAAAAAAATTAATAAAAGATCAAAGTATCGTGCAAGAGATTATTCATGTGGTCGACGATATAATACGGTTTTATTAAGATATCAGTCACTGATATCAATAATATTTCTAAAAGCTTGCTCCACACTTTCAAAGCTATTTGTCTTTATAAAAGCTATACACAGCAGAACAGCAAAGCTGCTGGCGAGACAGAGAAAACGCAAATTGAGTTTAGCTGGTAGCGCGACTAGTTGATCACGTGACTCCTCCAGATAACATCGATCGTAGCAGCTACGTACCAGCGACTTGTTTTTCTGGAGTTCTGGTAGCAAAAGGGGTACGGCCAGAAATCGTCTGGGGTACGTAGTATCGACAATGTCCGCTAAAATATCAAAAATATCTCTGTCGGAAGGTCCCGCAACAATTACCCCTAGAAGGATGCCGGTACTTTGCTGGGGATTCGAACTTTGAAAATTGACGATCCGAGAACATATTAAAATATAATTAATAAGTGAAATGTTCTTTTTCTTGATGAACCCACGAATATTTATAGTTTATATATAAATATTTATAGTTTGTAGCGCATCTGTTAATATGCAATTTCTATTCGAATTTCGTATTATAATGCATAGTTTGAAAACCGTAAATAAACTAACTATGACAATTTTCTGCCACTTGCGAAAAAGACTGCCATCTATTGGATAAATTGATCGGGAACCTTATAGAAATTTCATAGGAACGTTCCAGGAACGTCGACCACTTTTAATGATAACTATTTTATTAATTGATTTGTCAAATAGTACCAGCTACGTACCCAGCACATTTCCATGGTTTGAATCTGGCAATGTATCGACAACCTTCTAAGCAATTGTTGCGAGACAATTTCTGGCCGTACCCCTTTTGGTACCAAAGTTCCAGAATATAAGTTGCCGGTATACGTGTAGTTGCTACGATTAATGTTCTCTGGGCGAGCAGCGAAGGATGCGGGTAAAAGTCATCGTAAATTTTACGGTGGTGATGTAATATATTACTTCAAATTTACATATGTCTTACGAAATTTTGTTGCGAATTTTGAATGCTCTGAAAATTACGGATTCGTCGTCGTAAAATTTACGTAAGTTTCTTTGTAAAAAATGAACAGCGAGTTCGTCATATCCCCGCATCACTGGCTCGTGATCGTAACTTTTTCGGCCAACCTTTTCTCCGTATACGTGAACTCTCGGGTATTAGTCGCTGCAGCTGAACTGCAAACGCACATTTCGAGAGTACGACGGGGGCTGAAACGGTCGCGAAAAATGCTACAGTCATCGTCGTGGCAGTGAAGCGATAAGAGAATGTCGGCGTCTCTCTTCTTTCTTGTCGATGCACATCTCTCCGGCTGTCCGCGCGAAACTTTGCGCATCGAAGCGCGATCGCCGCGCAATTAGCGCGCGCATTCCAGCCTACTTGCACCAATAAACAAATGAATAAAGTATAAAACGCGATACATCGTGAGAGCAGCGGGTTTCGGTATTGATTTTTCAATTAGCCAGTGCAAACCGAATTAGAACGTTCAAGCGGCAAGTGTACAACATTATGTAAGGGACGCTACGAAGATTTGTATTGTCTTTTTTTTTGTTGTTGTTTTTGTTTTCATTGATCGGTCAGTCAAGTTTTACCAGGGCAGGTAGTTGCCGCCACTTGTCGGACTTGGACCACAGAAACTGCGGCAGCGTCATCTCAGGCACGTTCTCCGCCTCGCCGTAAGGACTGTTCATGACATTGTTGCTGTAATAGTTTCCGAGCGCCGCTTGGCGCAAACGGCGCGACAATAACTTCCACGACCTTAACATGGCTACTCGTTGCAAACGCACACACACACGAGCGCACGATGCGCTGCTCGCCGGCAAACTGATCCGCGCGATATTTTGCTGCAGCGTTCTTTAAGCTCGCTCGAGAGGCCAAAGTCCAACGCTTGCTTCTCTCTCTTTTTCGCTTCAAAGTCCGCTAACGTAGACCCCCTCCACCCTCGCTTTACATGCTGTAGCCCATAGACATGTAAAGTATAGATCATCAGTCTCTTTTGAGTTGCCGACGTTCATGTGTGTGTGTAGAGAGAGAGAGAGAGAGAGAGAGAGAGAGAGAGAGAGAGAGAGAGAGAGAGAGAGAGAGAGAGAGAGAACGGGCTGAGTGAGTACTTCTTTCTTTTTCTAGCAGGGTTACGTGGGGTAGTCACGTGGCTGAGCCTCGCTCGAGTGTTGTATGCTTCTCGCGCGCTCACAGTTACGCCGCTTTAAAGAGAACACGGGAAAAAATTATTTCAACAATGTGTATGTTAAAAAAACAAATGTACCCAGCGGTAATAGATAAAATGAAATTTAATTTATGCAGGTTACTCAGCAGTTTTGTTCGTATTCAAAACGCGATCGATATATGTGAACGTCAAAAGGATTACTAAGCAGTTAGTTGCACTGCAATGTCTGTAAATCTGCTTTGAGTTTTTGTTAAGATATGGTCTGTTTCAATCATCCATTGCAATTTGCAGTATTTTGTTGATAAATTTTTCTAGTATCTTACACATGCAATACGACAAGGTGATTAATCTATGATTGATTTTATTTGTTTTGTCTTTATTGGGTTCCAATATTAATGAGACAGTAGCTTCTTTCCATAATTTTGAAAATACTTTGAGTAACCAAATAATGTTAAAGATAGTTAGTGGGTACTTTTGGCCGGAGTTTAGGATATTTAAGAGATCAGGTCCCGAGTTTCAATTTTTGCTGGAACTGAGTACTGTGGTGAGCTCTTCTAGCGCAATTTGGATCATTAACAGAATCGCTGTCATTATTTTTTTATACGAATGGTTAGATCTTGGTTAGAGTTTTTGAACTGTAAGAATTCGCTGGTAAAATTACTGTAACTTGAGTTAGCGAAGAAAGCATAGTTTAACCGCCGATAATTTTACAGTTGTCAATTATTGCTGTAATTATACTTGGGGTTTGGTATTAGATACATTGATATTCATTTTCATAATTCTTTTAATGGTGTACGATGTTGTTAGCGATTGCTTTGCATTTTCTGTATTACATTCGATTATCCAATGTATTTTTCTTATTGTATTTATTAATAACTTTTTTGCATTCTTTATTGATGTTTGATAATCTTTATTTCACCATGTCGTGTTGTGTTCTTGTCTAATTAGATCATGGATCTTTATTATATATTGAATTTGTACTCTTCGATGTAAATTTTCGTTTCTTATGTTCTTATGTTTCTTAGTTTGTTTTCTATGAGAGAGTTTTATTTCTGTTCTGATCTGCTTGATGGAATTTTCATCTGGCGCAGTGTGATTTATCAGATTTTTCTTCTTGAATGATTGAATAATTATAGGATAGTGCAAGTGTAAGGGTAGTCTAGTGTTTAATTCAAGGTCGATTGCGAGGTCATTACTGCAAATACTTAAATCGATTGCACTGCTTTTTCCTATGGTTGTGTTGAAGTAAGTTGAGATGTTGTCGTTTAGTATCATGAGATTATTGTTTATGATAAATTTTTTTATGATTTTTTTTATTGTCTATTTTGTCGAATCCATAGGCTGTAATGTGACTGTAAAAGTCTCTTATTAAAAGAAAGGATTGGATAATTGATCAATGAGTTCCTGTATTTATTTTAATGTAAGTTAATATTTATTTTTGATATGGACATTGCACATTAATATATTTTTTGTTTTTTTACCTCAATATTCGTCCAACATCCATTGTCCGATGACTCTTATATAGAAAGTTTCTTACACCCTTACTTGCCGGAAGACAATCAGTTCCTGTTTTGTTGTAGCAGTTATAGTTTTTTATATTTATTGTATGGTTATTTGTAGGATTCATTTCTTACAAACATATTATCTCGATGTTTTTTTGAGCGATTATTTTTTGTAATAATTCGTTTTGATTTTTGAATCCATTACACTTCACATTCCACTGCATTAATTTAGTCATTTTGAGAATAATATATTATAATTGTATAGTATATTAGTATGGAGAATTATTCAAAATCAAAGTTGGCTGGAGATGGGTTGAGAATGAAATTTACTTGTGGTTTATTTACGCTTTTCATTAATCGGGTGCAACGATTTTTAATGCTACTATCTCTTACATTTGGGTAAATATCTTCATTGATAAGTTTCATAAATGCTTGGATATCTTTTGTGTAGCTCATAATTACCTCCACTTGTATTTTGGTTTTCTGAGTAATTTCCATTAAGCTCGTGAATTGGTTGTAGTCGAGTGAGATATTGCTGTAGTGAGGTGTTGAGGTAATAATTGATGATTGATTTTTGTATCAACAACTTTAAATGTTTTACTTTTTTTCTTGTTTTTATCTCTATTGTATATAATTTTTCGTATTGGCTCAGTTTGGAGTTGATTGAGCTTAATTGTGAGTGGCTTCATTTGTTTTCTGTGCATAAATTTATTGGTACTCTAAATTCAACCGTGAGGTTTGCGAGTTGATTAACGAGATTTAGATTAATAGTATTATTTACATGAGAGTTTGGAGTATCATTAAAAAGTGTGTTTGCTTGTGTGGATAAGAATAATTTGTCTGTACAATATTTGGTTAGGTGACGCTCAAGGTTAAAGCATTGAAGAGTATCAGTGCTTGTGTAGATGTAGTATTTAAGTTCGTCGTAGTTTATTTAAAAAACGTCAGGTACGGTACCTTATTATGAGATTGTCAGTGTGCACGTATTATTGTCTGCTAAAGCTGGCCACGTGGTTGTACCCCTTTTTGTTGATAGCAGCTTTTATACTTAGATGTACATTAGAGAATATGATTCGTTTGTTCGAAATTAGAGGGCAGATCGTTATTCGATGAGGACCAGTTGGAATTATTTAGGTACTTATCAGTAATACTATTAACTAGGCTACTGCTCGATAAATATAGACGCCCTTGATTATTAGAAATTCTTGGAACAAATATGTTTTTGGATTAACTATTTCACCCCCAGCAGACATGTAATCTGTGAGAATTAGTTTACTGATACAGTCGAGGATGATGCCTTAATCTCTTTTCAGGCATGACATTTTTTTAGCGATGTTTGCATATCTTGAAACCGGTGAGCTACGGACAGTGAAGGTTGGGATTTCTTATTAGCATAAGTTTGTGAATGGTTGGTTGGCTGCGTCTCCATGTTGCACTCGCGATCGACCTTGTGGTATCTATTTATTTGGACTAAGCTCTATGATTGAGTTATCGATTTCGAAGTCACTCGCACGCGGATCAGTACGTAAATACGTCTGCTCGTACTGGATTCCAAAGCACAATTGTGATTTTTTTATTTTATTTTTATTTTTAAGCAAGACTTCTTTACATTTACAGTGGAAAATGCACAAACACGTCATGTGCCCAAAGCAATTATACAGAACTTAAGCCTAATCTGTTATCCTAAACCCTGATGCTCTTAAATGAACATAAGTTTAAACCATAATAAATCAATATTAAATAACAAAACTGAAAAATCGCACGGGCGCCTATCGAGCGGCAACCCGATAACCAGCATAGTACCAACAAATAGAACAGAGTATTGCCTCCATCTACATTCATTTGTATAATAAATATTTTTATCATAACAATATTACAGAAGGCTATAGATCCATTTTTTGCCAGACTGGGACTCTTGCCAATTTTGTAACCTCGCTGCCATATATTTTAAAGCGTTCCAACAGTTAGAAACAAAACATGAGTGTACACTTGAGCGAGGCGAGCCACGTGACTACCCCACGAGACCTGTGGAGAAAGAGAGCAGTATTCACTCGGTTCGTGTTCTCTCTCTACACGCAGGAGTGTTGGCTCGTCGGCATGATCTATACTTTATATGTCTATGCTGTAGCCTAATCAAAAAAGGAAAAAAAAGCTGTTTGGTGCAAAAATTAAAGTAGGGCCAATAACCTACCCAGAGGACTTCGGAACAATGTAAATAGATACCCTACATGAAATGTAACACGAGATTTAAAATCAGCTTTTCTTTTTTTTTTGCGAGGGCCAAAATTTGGTAAAACCACTTTCTCTTATTTTGTGAGCCAATTTGTGTTTAATTTAGATAAAAAAGTGCAAGATAAAGTTGCAGATAATTAAGAAAGTTATAATTTGAGCCGTTGAGCGATTATTTTCGTTCGATAGTTATTGTAAAAATTACCAATAACCATCGAAAATGACCGTAGTTTTAACGCATTCAATATTAATTACAAAAATACCTTTTTTTTTAATTAGTATTTTCACTGATAGAAGCTTCAAATTCTATAAAATTATGTCTAACAGATGACTAACAGATGAGGAATGTTTGTGGCTGTAATTTGTTTTCGCAAAAGGTTCCGAGTTTCAAAAAGACTCAGCCTCGATCGTAGTCAAAACATCAATTTTAATATTTTATTACGGCGAGTGAAAAATTAATTTTCGACTTTTTATTTTTATAATTAAAAAGCAATGCTTTTTTCATCATAAACAAACAGATCTAAAGCTTCCCTATACATTGCATAAATGTCTAATTTTTCCATCCATAGGAGTTGAGTTGTATTTTTTCTTTTTTTAATTGCAGTCCTTGTAATAATAATGATGAAGAAATAATAAATCTAGCGGCATTCGATGGTTAAAAATTAAAATTTTTTTGATACTTTACAACGGTTTAAAAAGTCTGGCTCTTTTTTTATTGATAATGAGGCTTAAAGTCAAGGATCCGAAGAGTCGAAGGCCAGCCGTAGTGGTGGGGGATCTTAGTCAGCCCTCTCTCACTCCAATTCAAAACGATGATGCTCCAAAATATGACTAATATATTATCAGTTATAGTGAAATTGCTAATAAAAAATAAATAAATAAGTCAATAAATAACTTTATCAGCCTATTGCTTGCATAAATGTGTTATTTAGCCGGGCTAATATAAAATGATGTGATGAATATAAATTTTACTATCTATTTATGAATCTGTGGAAATGTTTTAAAATAGCTTGTAAAAATGGAACATTTTATCTGCAATCACAACTGGAATTATGAAAAAATCATACAAAATCAAGCAGTAGTTCATCAATAACAGATATATAGATTCATCGAGAAAGAAGTGCTGATTCCGCAAACGAGGAAAACTTTTGCTGATATATTAAGTTCAAAATCATCACGTCAAGACGCAAATACTGTGCCAAAAATAATACAAAATAGATTTTAACTTGCATTGACGAAGTGAGATGAAAATAGTTCTATATATTCAGACATGATTAATTAAAATAAGTCAACATCAATAAAAAATAGACTAACGGAAAATGTAATTACGAAAAAAATATTGTACCTTAATTAGATAGATGTGTACAAGACAACTTATCCAAAAATGTAGATTTAGAAAACAAATAAAAACTTTTGTTGGAAAAAGCATAAAATATTTTACTTTTCAAAAGAATTTATCAGACTAAGATAGTCGATATAACATCAGGAATTTCATCAAATGAAATACTTAAGAATTCTCTTGTAGCATTCAATAATGAAGTAGACTAATTTATATTAAGATTTTTCATTCCAGAATCTGGCTGGTTAGATCGTCACAAGTAAAACAACAGTAGGACGCGTTATACGATTTATAAATTGTAATTAAATTTTAAACAAAATGCGAATCTATAAAAAACTTCAAAATTTGTAAATATATCACATTTTATTACAAATTCGAGCGAAAATATTTCGTACGTACATTAATTAACAAAAGTTCTAACAAATATATATAAATTCACTACCCTCTCCTTATTTATATAAACTATAGTATAGATTGTACAAATTAACAATTTTTATCGAAACCCAAAATACATAGTATGTAGTAAACTCATCCATCGATTGTTTTATTGATTAAATTCAAAATCATAGCTTTTTACCACTATTAATAAAAGTTCATTACAATCAATCATTTGATGAAGATGCAGCAATCCATTCTGATTCGCGCACAGTTTATATCTTTCATATGAGAGTACTACGCATGGACGTTGCTTTTGTCATAAGAACTATATTGATCACATAATAAAATTGAAGAGTTGTCCAATGCGTATATGTAATGACATAGTATTGCTCTCAGTCAGTTTAATACAAACTAAAACCGAGCGATAATGACTAAATATTTTACTCTTTTTTCATAATTCGCGAATTAGAACGTATTTTTCAACAAACTTAGCTTTTAACTAACTCTCAATTTAATCGACACTTTTACTCGGTGAATAAAAAATACGACTGAATTAAAAAATAGCTGACAAAAGAATTTTCAGCTACCATAGTTTCTTTCATAGATACGAAATCAATTATATACACGATGACGCGAGTGTTTTTTGATACTTGCCGATGAAAGCGACATGGAACAATTCTTTTACGTTGTTTAACTTTGAAAGTGTGTGCGTTGTTGTTTTTGCATTCTCACGTATACAAAGTCCGATACTGATTCCTTATGAAAAATAATAATAAGCATTTTGTTAATTACAATTTTAATTAATCTTTGAAAAAAAGTTCATTTGAATAATGAGAAAATTATATACTTTGTTCCATTTCTTTCGTGTAAAACGTTATTTATTTAATATTATTCCCACCCAAATTAAAAAAAGTATATATATATATATATATATACCATGAAGATACTCAAAATTACCTCCAATAGACGTAGTTAATTTCCCTCAACCAAATGTTTGATGCTTAACAAGTCTCCTAAACAATCCATTCTCTATGGCTATAAGTTCATTGTAAGTGCCGTATTCGTGTATTCGACCAGCCTCGAGAACTGCGATTTTGTCGGCGTTACGTATGGTACTGAGACGATGAGCAATCGTCAGTACTGTGCGTCCTTTTGTTGCACGTTCCAAAGCTTCTTGGACAAGTCTTTCGGAAGTGGCATCCAGGGCGCTTGTTGCTTCATCCAAAATTAAGATTTTCGGATTCTGAAAATTAGTTAGGTTGTACGGCTTTGGTTTACATTAATTTATATAAAATTAAATATTAGAAACATTTTCAAGAAGCTTGTTCTTGCACATCCTGTTATAGAATGAAAGAAATTACAAAAAAGTCCATTTGCACAAAATATTTAAATAAAAAATGTTTGCTTTATGACGAAATACTAAAATAAGACTGAAGGAGACTACCTTGATAAGCGCCCTTGCGATAGCTACACGTTGCCTTTGACCTCCACTCAGCGTAACTCCGCGCTCGCCCACATAAGTGTCTAAACCATCTTTCATTTTTTCCACAAATTCCAATACATTCGCCTGCCTGGCGGCATTCACGATATCCTCATCCGTGGCATTTTTACTGCCATAAGTAATGTTCTCTTTGATCGTGTCATTAAAGAGCGTGGGTTCTTGAGATACGTATCCTATTTGTTTCTTGACCCAACAAGGATCTAATTCTCGTAAGTCGTGTCCATCGAGAAGAATGGATCCATTGTTCGGATCGTAAAATCTTAACAAAAGAGCTGCTAAAGTAGACTTTCCAGAGCCTGAAGGTCCGACGACTGCTGTGACCGAATTCTTAGGGATCTCCAGATTAAAGTCTTGTAAAATTACCGAATTGCTTCTAGTTGGATAAGCGAAACGAACGTTCTTGAAAACAACGTCACCGGATAACTCTAAATCAAGAATTTTTCCTCCCTGAATGGGTATGCAGGGTTTGCGATCAATAAGTTCAAACAATCTAGTACTAGCACCAAGTGCTTTGTTCAATTCTGTATAGAAACTTGACAGACCATTCAAAGAAATGCCTACATAAGCTGCATAGAGTAGAAAAGCACTGAGACTGCCAACAGTCAGTGTAGAATCCGAGACCATTGTTCCTCCATAATACAAGACTGACAGAATTATACCATTGCCGGTCAATCCTGTCATGCCAAAGAATATTCCCCTGTAGAAACTTTCCTTGTAGCATAGTTCCAATAGGTCTTTCAATTTTGCACAGTAGTTTTGTATCTCATTAGTTTCTTGTGCAAATGCTTTCACTGTCCTAATATTGCTGATTCTTTCCTCTGCTGTTGTGTTCAACACAGCTATACTGTCTTGAACTTCTTTTGAAATTTTCTTAACAAATCTCCCATACAATGTTGCCATGGCAGCTACTGGAGGAACAATTGCTAGGCCTACCAGAGCTAATTGAGGAGAGACATAGAACATCATGGTTACACCTGCCACTGACATTATACCTGATCTCAAGCCATCAGAAATGTTGCTTGTTATTGCGTAACTCACTAGTTGTGCATCTCCTAAAGGTAGAATATGATCAAACCTTATATCATATTTTAAATTTTATGATTTTGATAAAGGTATTGATAAATTTTACCTGAAAGTCTTCCAACAAGTTCTCCAGTGCTTATTTTGTCAAACATAGCAATCTCCTGGCTCAGAATAGTACTATAAGCTTTTCTCCTCAGAGATTGAGTAATTTTGTAAGCTGTGCTGGACATGAGATAAACTCTCGAAAAATTGCATAATCCACCAAATAAAAATACACCAAGCAGAATAAGGCAAATGTTTTTAAGATTCTCTCTGGTCTGTTCATGATCTTTTGCATAGATAATATCTATGACTTTACCTAGACAGAATGGTACTGCCATAGTAACTGTAGACGATAAAACTAAGAAAGTTAATGCACCTAAGAGTCTCCATTTTTCTGGAGCTGCCAGTAGAAACAATTTTCTCAGTTCTTTGTTCTTTGAACCTTTGACTTTGTTGATTTGCTTTGTGGAATTAGCAATTTCTATTTTTGCTGTGTCTGTTGAAAATCTCTTGAGATGTTTTAATGTTATAAATCTTCTTCTGGATAGCTGTGAACACTGCACTATGTGAGCTTGGACGTAAGATCTTTTAGGTACTTTAATGCATAATGTATTAGGTTTCATGTGCAGTATAGCACTTGCTTTTAGCAATCTAAACAATGTCATCGTGGTCGTTCACTCAAAAAAATACTAAAATAACAATAGAGAAATTGTAACGTTACATGGTATGATAACAGGTAAAAGGCAAATTACACAACGGAATACTCACGTGGAAAAAAAATAGAAACGTGACGCAATTCTACACAATCTACATAATTAATCAGAAAAAACGCACAGCGTCACCTGCTCGTGATCATCATGTTTTCCACTTCCAATCGATGAATATGAACTCTCTCACGTTGGAATGATGTCGTAATTTTTCATCTTTTTTCTTCACATTTAATTTCGTCTGCTTGCGAGGTTTGGCTAACAGTGCGCGCGCTAACCTCAATTTTCTATTGCATCGTCCAATCCAATATATCTCTATTAATCGATACACGCACATTGCACACGTTGTATATACATTGACATCTGTATGCTATGTGTGTATCTTTCTTTAAATATAGTTTTTGTATGTGTTGCAAATGTACATGATAAATTAGTTTTTTTTTTAAATAAGCTTAAAGTTAAAAAGTGTTATTCATAGTTAAATCTTATGAAATTCGATACATAAATAAAATTGGCATTAATAATTTTGAAACAAAAAACTTTTTTACTGTTTATTCACGCGACAAAAATGTCGCAGCAAAAGGTTCGAGCGACAATTTTTTCACTCGCGCTCGATATTCTTGCGAAATACTATTTTTTCTTTTTGAATATAGTATATATTGATTTAGTGGCAGCTATCATATCATCATATATATAATTCTATGATGTGCCGATTAATTTTCTCATACCAAGCCAGAGATAAGTGAAAAAGTTTCATTCGAACAACTGCAGATAAGTTGATGTTTTGTTTCGATGAATTTTGATGTGCACATACATAAATATATATATATATATATATATATATATATATTATTTATTTATTTATTATTTATTATATTATTTACGTAATAGACATTGGCGGTATGTTTCGTTTTTCGTTTGTTTCCGTATTTTCATGATAATTTTTCATTCAATTTATCACAACATAAACTTAATTTTCCTTGTGCCATACTTTCACGTTGTCATTTCTTTGTACACATACTTATATACATAATACATTCTATATTTTCGATAAGTAATTTAAAGAAGAATCGTAGAACTCTATGAATAAATAATGGAAATTTTAGGACCATGTTAACGGAGAAGAATATTTTGCCTATAATATTTATATAAGAGATCATGAAAGGATTATTTTAGCTTTAAAATTATCATTGTCTTAAATGATATGCTTATCTTGCTTTGTTACTGTAACTTTGAATATAAATTATAATTTAAGAAATGAACTGAACAATTAGAGCCATCACGGTAGTGTCCGATTTGTAAACCGCGGGTCTTGTGGCAAAACGTCACGTGGTCATAATGCGCACACTCTCTCTGAGACACGTCCGCCATCACATCACTCGACACTCATATCGTTTGTTAATTGTCTGTAATCTGTTACCGTTTCGGTTGTTTTGGGTCTTGGGACTCTTGGGATAATTGGGATCAGGGTTGTTCTTGTGTGTTTACAACTTTTTTGAGGTGTTTTTTTGTGGTTAATTATATAGAAAAGAGTGGACGGCGTCAGATTGCGAAGATAGTCAACTGAGTCATATTAGGTGTGTAGCATTCTAATTTCATAACGTTTTCTTAAAAATTGGGAGGATTACATAACCTACATTCCGCGAATTTGGAAGTTTATACAATTTTTTGTTTGGCAAATACAAATTGAGTATGTTTCATTGCAACATATTTACCAATGGTCAGCGCTTGCAACAATACATTTAGAAGTATATACTTTTAATCCTCCTTGAATTGTTACTATAATTGTAAATATAAAAATAATTAAATCCACGCTTATTCATAATTATTTGACATTTCACTCATATAATTTGAATCAGTGATTTATAATATTGCATTGTCTACAAAATTTGAAATGAAAAAAAAATATTTTATATGATATCTATGATTAATATTTTATAAGATTAATAAATGAGTTTTTATGATTACTAAAAGAAACTTCCATATAATTTATCTTTCTACTGATAAAATTAAACAAATAATGGCATTTTTATCATTCAAATATATACTTATCAGTAACTTTTAATTGAGCTTTTTAATTCTTACGTACTTTAAAAATTTAGAACTATTAATTATATAAGAACTTTTACACTGCTAATACAAAAATTAAATTAAACTCAATGTATATTTCTAATAAGTTTGACATTATTACAGATATACCAATGCAGAATTTGAGGGGTGATGTGTTGAGCCGTCTTGGCGGCACAGTCAATCAAAATAACTATCGGTTTCCAAGAGTTGAATTTGTCAATCGAGCAGGAGAAAGAGTAAATCCATTGAATGGCAAACCATACAATCGTCCAGTGACAGCCCTGTCAACAGCTGCCAATGGAGTTATAAAAAGAAAGAAAAATAAGAACAACATAATAAGGTCAGGTCGTGGCAATAAATTGCCAATTAAAACCTTTGGTATAATGTTTGGTGGATTAACTCCTATACCTACAAATCCTACAATTGATCCACCACCCAGGGTATGTTACAACTGCTGGCAACCTGGACATGCAAGAAAAAACTGTCCTCGGCCATTTAGAGCTAAAATCTGTAACAATTGCGGTAGGAGAGATGAAGATTTGACAACTTGTCCTAGATGTCGACTGGCACACATGAGATACTTGGCACATTTAAAGGGTGAAAAGGTGAATCAAAATGATCTTGATCAGTTGTTTCCTAAAAGTCATCACTTCGAGAGGGAGGGTGTATACCACGAAGATAAGCCGTTAGACTATGGAGTTGATGAAACGCTTCGAGAAATGATCGAGCAAGACGATAGAGATCGTGAATTGGGTGATTACTATGACGAGCATGGGAGAGAAGAACCATATTCAGCACCGCAGATTAAGTACGTGGAAAGGCTTGAGTACATAAAAAATCCAGTCAGCCGATACCAACAGAATCGTGAGTACGAAGACGAAGAGACGCTTCGTCGTCGTGAAGATTGCGGCTATGAGAATAGAGAAGGATCGTATGAGGAAACAAGAGAAAGAGAAAATTTCCCTCGACATCGAGACAGAGAATCTTCGGAAGACCGTTCGATTGAACGTTTCAGACATACTGGAAACTTATCTAATCCTGATTTGGATTCTGATCCAGTGCAAGAAGTTCTGCAACTTGCCAAGTCGATCTCTCATTTGTCTCCAGAGACACAGGACATGATCATGAAACAGGTGATGGCTGAGAGGAAGGAGAAAGCCAGACTCAGGGCTATGACAATGCAGGACAGACTTGACCAGGATTGGCCATAAATCATTGACTTTGCGGATTGAGCTTGCAGAGTGCTTTTTTGATCACTCTTTCTTTTTGAAAAAATTATTTTTATTTCTGAAGCAATCAGAAGTACATAATGATAAATGTCAAATTTGTGGAGTGGTGGAAAGATCTGAAAAACCTTTCGTTTTTCTTTTGATTGGAAAGCTACAAAAGTATTGACCATCTTTTTGACTATATATCAAGCTTTTTCTCCATTTCTCTCTTTTTTTTATTGCACGAAAGCATTCCTTAAAATTTAGTAGCTGATTTTATTATTTAGAAGAACGAAGTATAATAGATTTTTGAAAAAGTTACATTAATTAGCTTAGAAAATATTTACACTTCATTTCATTTACTACTACAACAATTTTGATTTATGCTCCTCTTATTTCAGTCATCTTTATAAGTATACACATGTGATTTGATATTCAGAAATATCAGTGAATTATTATATATAAAAGTAAAAAATTATAAGTTCTCTTTGATATGATAGTCTAATATATCTGTGTGTACTTTTCAAATTTCATTTCATTAATAGCATTTCCTCAATTAGGGCAAGTTCTTTTTTCAGTATATAGATTTATTATTATAAACAAAATTTTCACCTTTTTGAATATAAGCAGTAATGTACAAATAAAAAAATTCGAAAAAAATGTGAGTAGTGGGATGAAAAAAATATTACTCATTTGTGTACTAAGCATTCTAACTTATCATATTTGTCGATGAGCGGAAAGAGTATGTTTACTACAATACCTTTTTAATAAGATGTCTTGTAGATAACTATAAAATTTCTCGGTGTTTTGATTTGATAAAGACGCCACGCCGAGACATTGTAGTTTTACCGCCTCAATTTACAAAAGACTATTAGATTGGGAAAGAGTTTGAGGTGATAGTAAGTACTTTTGAGAATAAATGAAAAAAAGTCACTCCAAGATTTAAGGCTAAATTACGTGAGCGATTGAGCAGAAAGTGGTTTTTTAAGATTCTCTCTTAAACGAATAAATTTATTAAGTTGAAACTTTATGGAGACATTTATTGTGTATAAACAAAACGCGTCAACTCTTATTTTTGTAAAATTGAACGTAATCAGGACAAAAACCTTGAACTACTGTGAATAGAGTTTTTAATTTTTTCCTCGATTCCATTGAACTTTTTGATTAAGATAAAAATGTAGCGCATTTTGTTTATGAGCAACGAATGTCCTCAAAAAGGTTTATTGTTAATAATTTATTTGTTCGGGGGAAAACCGTAAAAAACCTCTTTCACTTAGTTGATAGTACAACTAAAAAATGCTCATAAAAATCGCATTAAAATCAACATTTTTTTTGTTAATAAATAAATACATCTCTGAAAAATTGAAATGTTTAGTTGTAATGTGTGTCAGATCTTACTACTCGTATCGTGTCCAAAATAACAATAATAAATATCAAATTATAAAAAGGAATTTACTTCTTGTGTGGTGATTTATTGTTTGTGAGTCCTGAAAGGTATCAGTGTTGCGGACAGAGCAGCTCACTTGACAATAAGTTGTGGTGTGAGTAGACCACGGTTTATTGAGCATTTTTTTGGGGTATTCGGCCATGATTTTATGTACACTTGATGATTCAGTTCAATCAGCAAGTATCAAATCAAGTTGAGTGAAAATTTGGCGACAGAGCAAAGTTGTCGGTCGTGACTACGATAATAATAATCCGATGACCAGCAATATACTGTTTGACAATGATATAATCACAACCATACAGGGAAGGAAAGCTGACAATTAAATTAGACAGAGGATGGGTTATATATGTAAAATATTAAAGTGCTTGAGAGTTTTTGTTAATAATTTTTTTGAATTTCATAATGTGCAGATTTTTTTATATTATATCTGCAAATAATTAATTGTATCATATTTATCCTTGTTTATGCTTGTGTGTGAATAATCGCAACAACGCTACTACAAGTGAGTCTTCAACTTAGTTTGTTCACTTTTATAATGATCTCAGGTCTTTATTTTCTGATTTCAGGTAGTGGTTTACTACAATCTGGTTTTATGTTGTCAAACACATTTTTTATAGTCTTTATTTAGTGATGCTAACAATGTTTTGCCGACTTCAAAAAAGGAGGAAGCTCTGTATTCTACGTGAATTTATTGTTTGTTTATTTGTTATGTATGCACATATGTCTGGAACGGTTCTGACAATCTTGATGGGGGTTTAAGTGGCCTAATTTGAAAGAGTCTGTTAGTAAGTTGGTCCCGTTTTATTATTGGTTTCATTGAAACATAACTTTGTGAGTTATTGCAAAAAAAAAATTAAATGGAATTTGACTTTTTTTCGAAAAATGACTTGTCCTTGATACATTATTCAAGTTAATCTTTTTTAACTTCAATGGTACCGTAGCAAAAAATGCATGACGTAATTAAGACTCCAATTATAGTTATGAATTTGAATATATTATTGATTATGTTCACTAACACGAATCTTTCCTTTAGATAAATTTTCTTTTTAAGATAACATAGGCCTACATTTTTCAGAGTCAGAGATTGGAGGAAGTGTACCAGAAGAGATTTGATACGCTGAATTCGAATCCGGGCTTAAATTCATATCATCACCCTAGATTTTTGATATATTTGAATCTAAAAGCGTGTAAAACACCTTTTGGAATTTTCTCACATCGTAAATTTTTATTCTATTGCAATTGCAAATCTGAAAACGGCATTGGAAAGAGCACTACTTTTTTCGAAATAGATTATTACAATCAGAAATATCGTTCATTGAAAAGTAGAAAATTTGAGTTTCGGGTAAGGAAGTAATATACGAAAAAGAACTTTCCAGAAGTTAAATAACAAAACATTATTATCGACTGTAGGTGGTTTACAATTCGAAATATACACTTGTTATAAGGGTCATCTTGGTAGACATCACATGGTAAATTTATTTGGAGAGGTAGAATACAAAGCAATGGTATGTTTTTTTACTTTTGGAAAGTTCATTCCTATATATTATGTTCTTACCTAAAACCCAAATTTTCGACTTTTCAATAAACGAATTTCCGGTTGTAATAATCCATTCTAAAAAATTAAGTAGTGAATTTAAAAATAGAAGTGTAAAAAACAATGTTTTTCGCAGTTTTAAATTAAGAAGATACTTTAAAAACCTAGTATAATAGTATTATTCTGAGTCCGGATTCGAATTCACCGCATCAAATCCCTGCAGGTTTACTATTTTCAATTTCGGGGTCTGGACTTTTATCAAATTTTGTTACCAATTTCCGTAGTACATTTTATTCTTTTGCAAAGTTAAGTTTCTTCAATTTTTTTTGAAGGACTAAGATGTTATTCTAGCGATTTGAAGGCATCGAATATCATAATAAAAATATAAGTATTCTAAGTCCCCGTACTTAGACAAGAGTTAAAGCAAGTGGGATTATTCTAGTTCTACGCTAATAGTACATCTATGTAGTGCTGCAGTCTGTAAAAAAACTTATGACGTATTATAATTTTGTTAGATATTTCACAATTTCCATGCAGTTTAATGATATTCTAATGTCTGTATATCATCTTTGAAAGGTTTTAAATGTAAGTAATGCTATGACCGAATTTTTTCATAAGTCAACTTAATAACATAATTATGACAAGACAAAAACTTTAAACTCAACCATTTAACGTACGTTTTTATCTAATATCTCATCATTAGATTTTCTCAGAATATCTAAAAATGCAATAATTTTTTTATATAATATATTTTGGTTTTCAGTAAAAATATTATATATATATATATATATATATATATATATATATATATATATTTTTTTTTTTTTTTTTTTTTCAGAAAAGTAGTTGATTCTTAAATTTAGCAAACTTGCGAGTAGCATTCATCAGAGATTTTTAATAAAAACACCTTCATAAGAAATGTAAACTTTTGAATTTTGAAAAGTGGTTATTTTACTTTCCTCCAGATTCTTTCAAAACGTTGAAAGCCGAGTAAGTGATTTTCATTATCTGTGAAAGTAATGAATGTTATGACTTGGATTCATCTGTAATTGATTAAATTTGACTTACACTTTTGAAGGAGTCGATGTTAAGAACAACGAGATCGCCGTAGCTCATAATGATAGGTCGCGATGCTCTCATCATGATGAACATCAATGCTTTATTTGCCTTCTTACTTAGCGTCATCCAATTGATCAAGTAAACGTACTCTCCTAAATCCATACTCTGAAAGCCCAACAAGTGTATCTTTTTCAAAAAAAGTTCTTTCCGCGCAAACGTCACTCGGAAATACTTTTTCTTTGAAAACAGAAGAAAGAATCGTGCAGATGCGGCTCTTACTTTCAAAGTGATCTCATTGCCAAACCAGCAATAGGCAAACATTTCTCCAGTCATGCAGATGATATATCCTACAGCCATGATCCTCTGTATTACCGAAATGTCTCTCAAAGTGAATTGATAGACAATGACGGAAAAGAGAAGAACGCTAGCCAAGTACTGCTCGACGATGATCACGTCGAAGGTGTTGGTCACCTTTTTGGAAAATCTGAAGCATTGTAAGAAAAACGCCTATTTTCATCCATTACTTCGAACATAAATGCAACATCGAAATTAACCTAATTATAAAGTCGTGATGTATCACTGCCTGTTGCAATAATTTCCGTTCGATGTATTGCGTCGTTTGCCCACTCAGAATAGCACGTTCGACCAAATCGGGAAACTCGTCGAGTCTACATCTGAGTAAGTCCAATTGGGTGCACGCTTGAAGAACAAAGCCACTGACGATCACATCAGTCGTTACGTTCAGCAAGACACCAACGACCAACGGCACGACCTCGAAGACGTAAGTTATCCAGTAGCTCCAATCGTCACGAAGATCGTAGGGCAGCCACATGCGAAATGGCAAATTTCGCGTCGATTTGTCTTGCAGTAAAGGCGTTATCATAAAGCAGAAAAGCGTCGCTTGGCCGAGTGCGTTGAATATTATCGTAAAATTCCTGATGAAAAGCACCAAGACGGTCAAGTTTGATTTTGTTATTTTTAATGTTCGTCGTTTTCAAAGTAATGCTGTTTTTCAACTTACTTAATGAACAAATCAGTCCTCCGTTGAATTTCCATTTCGACCTGGTTCCTCGGTAAACAAAAGCTTTCGAACAGCATTTCGTCCAGTTGAGTGACTTTGCTTTTCCGCACAATGAAATGAACGACTTTGAAGCATATTGATATGGCAGTTAACAGCGTGAACATTATGTCAACGAACATGTTCACGTTGAATTCGCTGCTGACGAGAAGAAGGACCTGCAGGGCAACGAGCGTGTAAGTGCCGAATACCGCGACGCTGGTGTACACGTGGTAGCAGATTCTCTTCAATCTTTCCGATTGCCAATGCGACGGCAGCCACATCCCCGTCAGCGTCAACACCTCGAACGTGAACTTTAGGCTGCGCATGCTTCGAGCATTGTGCGGCTGCGTTACGCGACTGCCTCTGGCTGCGTGCCCGTTGACTGACATCCCCATCAATATTTTATCAGTTCGTTGCAACTTTCGCCGCGCGCTCTTCTATTATGCAAGGCTATTCTCACGAAGTGATCATTAACTAAACATGCGTTTTCTCGCCTCTAGCATTCGCACGTTGATCTGTACGAAACACCGTGTACAGTGTGCAGTCGAGATCTTGTTTAATTGTGATCGAGGTATCATTTTTACAGTGTATAATATGAAGTCTTTTAATGGCAATCACTAATTAATTATTTATATACGTGAAAACTTGTATTTCGGGTATGTAGCATTCACTTCAAAATTAATTATTCGACATATAAATAATTTAATATTGCATAATTAATGCGCCACTTAGATAATTTAAGAACTGAGTCTACGTTGCACATAACAGGAAAAAAGGAAAACGTCCATCACTCGCTGCCATACACTATGCTCCGCGAAAAAAAGAATAAGGTAATTCACCTTGCAGCAACGTATAAACGTCCATCAATCTATTTCATCGAACTTTTCGTGAAACAACCAACTTTATTGGAAGTCCATCGATAATTTCCATATACTAAGCGATAATACTCCACGTATCTACTTCATAAAGAAGAAAAAAGTAAGTAATGTTAAAAGTTTTTGTTCGTTACGTCACAATTAAAAATTTTGATTTCGAGCAGATGAACAATTGAACACACCTGTCTTATTGAAAGAAATGTATCCATTGGTTAAAATATTTGAAGCTATTAATTAACTAGTTAAACTCATCTGGTTAATAAATTGTACATTAATAATAAAGAAATCCTATCGAACGAAAGCCTCGGTGAATGTAATCATGCTTCGATAAATTGACAAGTAGGAGAGCGACAGGATACCGGATGACCAATACTTCTGAAACTAGGAGGCAGAGCCTCTGATAACGAGAAAATAATGCACGAGAAAAGTGTCAGATGAATATGCCTTATTCCGTTTGTTCGTTACTTGAGTTGAGATTTATGATTAATGATTGTGAAAAATAATATTGGATGGATTTTTGAGATAAACATTGTCGAATTAATAGATAAATAAGAAAAGATATTGATACTCATGCTCTGAACTATTCGATTTTCATGATGATTTTTAATCGATGTTTGAGTCAAAATTTTTAATTTTTGTCCCTGTGAGCAATCAAATCAAAGCTTTTGATTTCTACTATTCATATTATTTTTAAAATTATAGTAATCTGAATTTAGCTCAAAAGAAGTCACTTTTTATTTCTTCACTCCTCGTACATCGTAGGCTGTCATAGACCGTTCCTAAATTATAGGAAAATCGGTGAGCCGGAAAACCCTGACGCTCTCCTCGCGCGTACTAGGGTTCACGTTTATTTGAATAATCGCGCGAAAGAAATTTCCGTTCTCAAGTGTTTCGATAAAAGAGTATCGTCAGAATGTGACTGCGAATCTTGTCAGGTGTCAACGGAACTCGACTGTTTTCCATGCTCCGTTGAGTAAACGATAACGATATTACGATAAGAATCATCGGACGAACTTCTTTTCATAGAATTATAATAATTACCGCTCTTGAACGCACGAACGCTTATCATTACGATTCAAATTTGTCTGGAAAATAGTAAAGTTATTTTTAATTTAGGCTCTAGTTATTTTAGAAAGTATTGAAAATGATAAGCGAAACGTTGAAGCGCCAGTAAGTAATCAAGTAAAAATCCCAATGTCGGGCGAGTATTTTTCTCAGGAAGTTTCATGTTATCGTCAGAGGCCTTAAAATGTATCGTTATTTTAACGAAGGCACCTTATTATGTATCAGCCACCTGGCTACTCTGAGATGCACTTATATAAAAGTGAGTCCTTTAATTTTTACACATCAGTATCGTTATCGTCGGGTGACCACTGTTACTTTTATTAAAATGTCAACCCTAGCATTTTTTTTCGTCATCTTAAGCAATTTTTACCGAGGTAATAAATAATACATAATAGATTACTAATGAATAAACCCAAAATTGTCTAAAAATGTTGCTCCATTACTGATCACGTTGATGCAAAAGAGAATGAAACATCACGTACACGAATAAAATAATTTTAAGTTCTTTTCATCCCATGAACATTACATTTGAATATTCAGAAATTCCTATCTTTATTCAGCCTTCAATAGATGATTCAAGAACTACGAGAAATAGTGAATTTTAATTCAATTTTTCAGCATTGGTATGTAATGAAACGGAAACCCGAATAGTCAACGGATTTGAATCTCAACTTGGTGATTTTCCATATCAAGTGAGAACAAACTTTAAATTGAGTCAATTATATAACGGAGAAGACAGTAATTAATTTTAAATATAGGTATCGCTTCAAATGAATAATCATATGTTTTGCGGTGGTACTATCCTCGATCATTACCATATTCTTACTGCCGCTCATTGCGTAGCTGAGTAAAAATCCAAGCCACTTATCAGCAATTCTCAAACCACGAATGTGCCAATCCTTTTAAATCACGAAATCGCGATATTTCAGATTCGGCGATCGAATGCTTAGTGTAGTAATTGGAAGTTACGATCTTAAAAGTCAACCTGGTATAAGGCATCGTGTTTCCGCTGTGAAAATTCACGAAGGCTACAAATCTGGAAATGGCTGGCCCCACGATATTGCTTTGTTGAGGGTAAGACTTCACCGAGGACAAATTGATAAGGAATTTCGAGATGCAATTGCCACTTGATAATTGTGATGGAAATGGTAGCTTGCCAGCCCTATCAAGTTCAACGAGCTCGTAGCGCCAGCTGTGTTGCCTAAACCTGGTGAACAGTTGAAACCTGGCCAATCAGGCGTAGTAACTGGATATGGACAATTAAACGTAAGCAAATTGGATCTAGATGATCAGTTAGAGGAATTAAACGTATTTGAATCCAAAGTAAAGTCCAAAGAATAATGAATGATACAGTCGTATGACATTCTTCATTATCAACAGATCTCAATGCAGCATTTAATTTTATAATTTTCGCTCAGAAAAATGGCTACCAGTCAACGAAACTATACAAAACGCAAGTCTTTGTCGAGAGTAACGCTGAATGCCAACGTTACTATCACCAAGATCGCATAAAACCTACAAATCTGTGTACTCGTCATCCTGCTAGAATCACTGGTTTTTGTAGGGTACGTATCGATGATGAATCCAGAATCGTTCGTATCAAACATTTTCTTTCCAGGGAGATTCCGGCGGTCCCCTCACTGTTAACGGCAAAGTCGTCGGTATAGTGTCTTTCTCGCTCGACTATGGTTGCGCCGGTGAACTAATAACTCCGCAAGTGTATACGCGTGTGAGCCACTACATCGACTGGATTAATTATCATCGTAATTTTTAACGTTAGATGTAATCCTCCTAAATAAAAGAAATAAAACAGGCTATTTATTAAAACCAACTTTTCTCGTGAATATCTCGCAAAACATTTCCACGAATCGAATTTACATTCAAAACCAGCGTTTTTCGTTGTATTGTCAATTGATGTTTGCCAAAATCATCTTACATTGTGATTCGCAATGACGCATTGCAAATAGCGTTACGATCGATCGCAAGCGCATATCGAATAAACGTTATGAATTATTCGTATATAAGCATTAATGAATATAGATATTAGAATCGATTGGAAAAAAAATCATTCTCGAATCAACATTCTAACGTCAAATCAGCTCAACTTTAACGTGACCAATGGAACCATTAGAAGAGCTTTAAAAACACAAATTGAATAAAGTTTAACACGCTGTTGGAGCACTGTAATCATAATAAAATCGAAACATTGATAAACATTCAGAAAACACATTGCCAGATAATGATGTAATCATGCATTGAGCGATAACTTTCGTCGAATCTATATAAAAGGAGCCTTTGCATTTGCAATGCTTCGACATCAATAATATCGTGCAAGTGAAAACACTTTAATTTCGTATTAACATGTCGCCTATTAGCTACCTTTTCCTCGGACTTTTGGCGTTTTACAAAGGTAATTACGACGATTTACCGTCTTTTCCTATCTTTACCGTGGCTTGCCTACAATTCTCAACTCGATAATTGGAAAATTGCAATTTATAAACGCAAAGCTTTAGCTAAATAAGGCATTTTATCCTGACACCGGTTTTGTTTCGGACTCGTATTTTTCATGATTTTACTCAGAATGGTGATTGACCTAATTGTTATTTATAAAATTCGTAGAAGTGACCTGCGATGTCTCGCAGGAACCAAGAATAGTTCGAGGCAATCTAACTCGACTCGGTAATTTCCCATATCAGGTAATAATCGTTTTCTAAAAGTATAATTCGACGTAAGACTTGAACGATACATTTTCTATGGCAGGTGTCACTTCAATTGTATAATAAAATGTATTGCGGGGGTTTCATTATTGACAATTACAACGTTCTCACTGCTGCACATTGCATTTCAGAGTAGGTATAAATTGCCGATAAATATTACATTTTAACGGCGTAAATCTAATCAAAGCGTATAAAGTTATAGGAATGATCCCAACAAATTCAGCGTAGTAGTAGGTAGCGTGAACCTCAGTGATCCAACAGCTTCAGGTAAAAGGTATCAAATCCGTCAAATAAAGGTTCATCCGAATTACCGATCCAACAACGGATGGCCAAACGACATAGCCATGTTACGGGTAAATATATAAAATAAATTGAAATTCTGCTTGTAAAGTGGAGAGATTAATGGGAATTGTACGAGAACTGCTCAAATGTTAAAGCTGGTAACACCCATCATTTTCAATAACTACGTGAGACCGGCTGTGTTGCCGGCACGAAACGAAACATTACGGCATGGTCAACCGGCCATAGTGTCCGGATATGGACAGCTGAACGTAAGTTCTAACGCAGCATCGGTGTTTGCATTGGAATAATCTATTTACTTATTACTGCACAGGACACAAGTAGGTTATCCCCGATACTGTACACAACCAAAGTGTTCATCGAGAGCAACAGTAATTGCCAAAAATTCTATGGCTCTCAATATCCGATTCAATCGACAAATGTTTGCACACGACATCCTAACCAAATTACAGGTTTTTGCAGAGTGAGTATAATCAATTAGAGTCCATAATTCCGTTTACTAAAATATATTTGCTATAATTTCTTTTCAGGGAGATTCCGGTGGTCCATTGACAGTAAATGGCAAAGTTGTCGGAATAGTATCGTACTCTATTGAGAATGGTTGTGCTGGAAGATCAAGGGGTCCGCAAGTCTACACCCGCGTTAGTGAATATATCAACTGGATCGAATACTGTCGCAAATAATATTTTTACCTAATTTGCAATGCCAGAAAATGTCACCATTTCGTTTACCGTGCAAATAAAATACTCATCTTTCGATATCAAGTTCTTTTCTTACTGGATGAATCGAACGACCAGCGCATTCATTAGTTGGATAGTCATGCTGCAATTATTTGATAAGAAATGATCATTTGCAACAGCGAACTGATTCCTTGAACAACAAAATAAACTATAGTTTTTCTGTTTTTTTCCAATGAGTTTAAAATGAGTCTAAATTCAATGAGTGCGAAGATTAAATATTTACTCGAGTAGATATGTCGTAATGATCGGTAAAACTTTTCAACGCGAAAATACGTAAATGACTAAGGGAATATGGCCTTTTATGAAACTTGATGAAAAAAAACTTCTTTCGGCAAAATTTTAGACCTATAGATGGTGGGGAAGCTTTTGTGATTTTTAATTTTATTTATAATTTTCTCGTAAACATTTTTTTTTTTTCTTAATATTTCATTTGTATAAGTTTTAGATAAAAATGTTCAAATTGTGGTAGCAATCTAATAATTAATCAGCAAATTCAATATAGCCAATAGAAGAAGTACATCATGAACATTGTCTTATAATTGAAAAAAATAAATCTATCTAATTAACAAAAAATGTATATTATGAGATACTAAAATACAAATAATCAAAAGTATTTAAAATGATAAAATGACTGAATTGAGCAAACAAAGCAACACAGTGATGAAGACTAATTTTTAATTATAATTAAATCATTGCTATTTAAAACAACGTAATCTAGTCATTTATTATAATTCTTCCATGGTATTTACGTATTGTTGAGCTTTTCATAATAATTTTTCAAATAGAGATAAAGTATTGGTTCTATTGAATATATCTAATTTAATTCATGTGATTTTTGTTGACCTAAACATTTAATTAAAATATTTTATACATGTATTTTCTACTATTTCTTTTAAAGATTCATAAATGAAAGATAACAACGCTCTGGTATGACTTCAATTTTAATGATGAATGTTCCACAACAATACATTAATTCTTGTGGAATAGTATGAAAAAATTATTCATCGATTTATTTACCTTAATGAGTAATACGTAATCGAATAACTGGTTCATCCGACTATAAATCTAGATTTAAATGTTTTTAAATTACCATACATCACCACAGTAAACGTTATTGACGTAAACGGAAAAATAAGTGATTTGCAACTGACACGACAAAGTGAATCGTCGAAAAAACATACAAAATGATCTGAACGTAAAAATTAATATTTTATCAATGTTTTACCACGTAAAACATTCTAAAAAAATTGAGAATATAGAAAAACACGAAATTTACCACAATATACATTTTTTTTCTATACAATTTTTTCCATTTCATAAGGCTCAATTATTGTCACAGAGTTTGACGAAATTACATTTCCCCTTATTTGACCATGTCTGAAAAAGTTTAGACAAAAAGATCATTATAATTCTTTACTGTTAGTACGATGGGTACCCTTTTTAATTCAAAAACTCCAAAAGGTAGAAAAATGTCCTTCCCAAATAAAGGTTCTAAACAAATTTCTATCTGATCAATCTACATAAGTTTCGTACTTACATGAAAGACTGCAAAAGTCTCGAAAAAAATTTATCGTCATTTATAAGAGCAGAACTACCGTTATGATTCTAATGTTTTTATAAGAAATTTCCGTGTAATGGAGGCTCTGAAAATTTTCTTACTAGGTAAATCCTAATGAAATATCTATTCTCCCTCATTTTCGTTTGAAAATCACAATTCAACAACTTGTTCATATTACGAAATTAATTTCTTGTTATTCACTGTATGTTATATAGATAATGAAACAAGTCGATGCATTATTATGAGCTAATTTTCGTAAAAACAGTGGAAAATTAAATATTACTTATCTCGCGAAATTATTTTTAAAGAACATTCGTACGCGTATGCGTATATAGAATTATGACTACAGACTCTTTTGACGTATGACAGACATGTCTTTATGTTAATAATATGATCTGAGATGCAGGTGTAAGTTTTACGTTTTAAATTATTGTTAAGATAATCATGCTAATGACGTTTATTGATCGCAGGTGCTATACCGACTATCTGATCGAATTACTTCCACGTGACCAATTAAAAAAATTGATTCAATTTATGGGTCAACTTTAATTTATCAATCTTAAAAATAAAAATTGATGTATTGCAACACTGAGCGATTTGAAAAAAACAAATGTTCGCACTTGTTATGTGCTTTACGATCATTATTTTCATATGCCAAGGAGGAAAATTACAGCTAATATAATGGTATTCTTAATATCACAATAACAAAATTTTCATTCCATTTTTTCACTAACCGAATTAGCTAAAAGTTGTATATAATAAAAGTGGTAAAAAAAGACAAAAGTGTGATACGGTGACCTTTTTGTGAATTACGTGCTTGATTAATTTCTGTTTTGTTCTTTCGTTCCTTATCTGGATTATTGTTAAAGTTAACATAACAAAATTATTTTCGTACCGAAAACTGACTTTAAATTTCCTTTTTGTTTCTCAAAAGATTTGTTATTCTGCAATTGAATGATGATGAAAAATTACGAGAGAGGACAATCCGTCTCGTATTCCAACGTACAGTATAATCAGTGAAATAAAAGCTTCGAAGAATTTATACATATTCAAAACATAGTTACCATAAAGACGTAAATCTAATTAACTTTAGCGCGACAATTTTACGAGCATTAAAAGCAATGTTTTTTCCCTTCCCCCACAGTACTGGACAATTATAAAACGTCATCAGTAATATGCGTGCGCGTAAAGAGGCGAGGGGAAACTTTGTTTCGAAGCTATGTTCGAAGGACATTGAATAATTCAGAAATAATCGCGCGCATACGTGCAAATGGTCTACTGAATTTCAGGTATCAAGCCCCTAGTAATCTTTTGAACACTCAAATTCACACAATTCCATAATTTGAGAAATCTGTTGTTCAAAATGAACTACAAATTCAAATAAGTGGAATGTTAGTCAAGAAGTATGAATAGTTACTAAAAATGAGCAATTAGTCTTGCTCAAAATATTTATTTTTTTTTTTCAAAACGGATAATATTTTTATAATGGACTCGAGTAATTTCTTACAGGATTCGAGTAAGAAATTATTCAGTAACAACATTCAACGATACCCAACTCAGCAAAATAGAAATCTCAAATCTATATATGTATATGTATGTACATGCGTGTATCTTGCATTGTTAAAAAAATTTCTTAAACACAATTTTTGCTGCACTTGCATCCATGTTTTCTCTATTTCTCTATCAATCTACTAATCAGTACAAAGACTTTTGGCTTTGGATACGTTGAAAATAACATCAAATATGCTTTTTGTAACTGTATTTTTCTGTGTTTCTTGTTATTCTTCATGCATAAATGTCTACCAACCATTTGCTTCGTCGTAAAATTTCACAGTTCCTGATGATCCTCACGATCACTGTTCTTCACTGCTAATAACATTGATAAGTATCCTCCAGAAGTCTTCAGAATCTTTATATAAAAAAACATCGAATTATATAGTGATTTATACAGTAATAAAAAATTAATCGCTTATAAATTTGAATAAATCCTAATTTACGTGCATTTGGCTTTTGAAGATCACTCTTAAATCCGTGCATGCTGAGAAATAAGTGAAGTATGTCTTATAGAAATAATTAAAAATATTTTATACGAGATTAAAGACTGTATCTCTTATGAGAGAATTAGTCAACAAAAATCTCCAATTAATGTTTAGCCACTTTCCCATAATTCAGTATTCTAAATAAATGGAATTACACATTCTATAATATGTATTTGTCATCAAAGACACAATTGAAAATCGATGGCTAGAAGTCTACTGAATAGAGGTACTGAACAGAGTATTGCGAATGAGTTTTCATGTAAAAAATAAAATGTTGTTATGTGAATGAATAAGGTAAAATGACGGGAATTCGGAATGTTGAAAAAGCATTCTACACTTAAGCTGTGAGATAATCTGGATTCAGTGTGCGACCTTCAAACAGCTGCATGGACATTGATAGAAACTAGAATAGAGGCATACGCTGCAATAGAGATCCATAGAAAGAGGCACAAATTTGCCCGCAGTCAGTTCGACCGGTCGATCTGCCCGAAGCATGATAATAATCAACAGCTTCATGTCCGACGGAGACAACCGATACCAATCGCTATTGTAAGCCGTCTCCTTTAACTTTGTACTCTACGCAATTCCAAAAAAAAGGCATGAATCCATGGATAATCAACAATCTGTTCGTAATGTTACCTCCGTGCTCAGCATCACTGCGATCACGCAATACGCAAAAAGACTCATCAGAAAGGTCGTGTAGTAGTACGTCGCAAAGACAAGTTCTAATACGTCTATCACATCTTTGGTGATTATCTGGAATGAGTTGTAAAGTATGATCCACGATTCGAAGGCCTTTTATTTCAACGCCTTTTATTTAACTAGTGATTTTCCCGTCTCGGTGTGATTCATTTGTGGACTGTGAAGATAACATTATAGGCGTGCTAAGAGATCTGCATCCCAAGTCGCAATTACATACATTGTGATACGGACATGCACACCATGCGTATGCTACACATTGATAAGGAAATTATGCTTCTTACCCTTACGATCTGATATTCTGTGAGGCAAAATATCACAAGCGATGTCAATAATTGCATAAGCAATTGCATGCTAAAGGCATTTCCGATAATATCTCCGATTCTGAAAACAAAAGCACGGAAAAACAAGATTTTCATTTGCGTCATATATACATTTTACTTGAATTGAGTGATATAACAATTTCCCCTAACCCTTCTCCCGGATAAGGACTCATTTATTCACTCTAATTGGTACTCGAAAGTTACTTACAAGGGAATGTTCCCAGCCCTCCGACTCCGATTTTGCTGCTATTTGAATATGCTATAGCTAATTGAAAAATAAAAGATACATTTTTTTATTGGTAGAAAAAGCTTTCTAGGGAGTTAAAGCCACCCTCGAAAATCACTCCTCAGAACAGTTTTTTATCAATATTTTTCGTTTCAATTAATATTGATAGAAAACTTCTTTAAGGGGTGATTTTCGAGGATGGCTTTCACCCCTTAGAAAGCTTTTTTCGTCGAGAAAAAAGCAAGTCAATTAGCTTTTCAATTTTTCAATTAGCTATCATATATCCAAATTGCAGTAAAATTGGAGGCGAATAGTTGGAAACGTTCTCTTGTTAGATTGAATAATGAAACTGTTGTTTCAAATAAGTAATTCAATACTTAAAATGAGTAACCGATTACTTAAAAAATTAATAATCAAAATAAATTTACAAATACTTGAGTACTAGATTAAAATATCGCAGTTACATAGAAAAAAATTGTGATTCTAACTTTGATAATTATAAACACTAAATTTTTTACTGTTACCTGTCTACTTTTCTCTTTGACTATAGACAGAAATTCCAAACTAGAACATAAAAAAATATCAATGCAATGTTTTTCCATAATTTATTATTAATTTTCGGCGTATAATTGGGACAGCATTTGGCCTATTTATGTGCTAAGAAATTTACGATGAGTGTTTTTGAAAGATTAAAAGACGAAGAATCGAACGGTGTGTTGAAGTTGCATATTTAGAAGTGTTTGGATAGCTGACAAACGAAAAATGTATTCATCAAAGAGAATTTTTAAAAACTGAAAATTTTAGATTGTCCGTAAACAAAATGTCTGCTTTAAATGGAAGAAACTGTCGATGTTTGACAATACGAACATACCGCCATAACACCGAATCAATATGGCAAGTATGAATTCAAAATACCATCACAATTCCATATTGGGTATGGTCCCGCATTGGTTCCACCTACGTCGTATAGTGATTAACAGTTAGCAATCGAAGGATTAGATAATTACAGAAATCCGTGCATTAAAATCCAAACATCGTACTAACTTTAGTAAGTACATGTGTCTCTCGATAATCGGCGAAAGATTTAAATGCTCATTCTTGTTTTCGTTGAGGGCAGCCCTGGCCAATAGCTGTTTGAATCGCTCTCGAAGAATCTCCATCTGGGCACAGAGGTGAAAAATGATTGCCACGAAAAAGCCATCGATCGCGCCGAAAACTGTAGCGGCATTCAACGTCGACAAAAACTGGCCGATCCACGTGATTTCGTAATACGGGCTTTTCTGCACATCGTAAGGGAATTTCGAAAGCATGTACATCGGACGAATGCGTTCGCTTGCATTCACTTTGCCCATTCTGAAGGCTTGCGACTCTTTGATTCGGTTGTAACAGTTCAGTGCGAAAAACGTCGCAACCGCTGATTCGACAATCCAGAATATAATAACCGAAACCAAATAGCTTATCTTCGCGTTCCTACGCATGATCAACTTCTCCGTGTGATTCTTCGTCATTTTCCAGTCTTCGATCATCGCGTTGACAAGCACATCTAGATCTTGTATGGGGTGAAAGAAAAAAATCTGAGCCGGCTGATGCTCCACTTATACATGAGATTAGAATGCAAGTCTGATGATAAATACCTTTGCGGTGGTACCAGAAATTCAGCGACTTTATCGCCACTAGCAGATGCGCCATATCACAATTTGATAAAATTTCGATTGCTTTGTCGAAATCTTTTATCGATTCAATTAACTTGAACGTTTGCGGTATATTGCCGAAACCGAGTACCGAAATCATGAGGATGGTGAAACGTAGAGCACTTTGCCAATTCGCGTTCTTATTCAAGCAAGGCCATAGTCCAAAAATCGTTAATCCCACGCGACAGACTTTCATCTCAGTTTCAAAGTCTTTATCCATTGTTACGATAAGTTTGATGTAAAATAGGCCGTAGCTTTTGACGGACTGGCAAAGTTCGCGCCGGTGTATCCCCTCTACGCCTTCAATCGTCGCTCCCTACTCGTCTTGGGATCATTTTTTGATGAGCACGATGTGAAATCCCATACATCTATAATCCCTTGCTTCGCATGGAAAACTTTACTTCTCTTGAGCTTCACCAGTGATCATGCACGCAGGGTGTATTGATTCATCATCATCTGAATATTTCAGTTGAGCCTGCGATGTGCTGTCCGCATACTACTGCCTATTATTCAATACTCTCGCTTGAAAAGCATCAATGTGCTATGGAAGCGAAAGTTTCGCACATTGTTTCTGTGCTTGAAATTATAAAGAAATTATAAGTATACTCGCGTACCGACGTGGCGCGTTTGATCTCTTATGTACTCTCTGTAGTATGATACTTACTATTGACGAGTAAAACGCTTTTTGGTATAATGTCCGGTAATATAGACCATTTATAAAAATTGATAACCGTTTTCAAAGTTCAAATGTGTATGTGATAGCGTTTAGTTATACACGCCTATGTCAAATTATATCTCAATTTCAGTTAACTATTTGTATTAACATACTAATCTTAACGTGCTCCAATTAATTAAAGTATCATTTTTGCAACAATAATAAAAACGGGTATTCGCGAATACTTACGGTATTTTCCGGATGACCATAAGACAATGGCCGTACCTAACATGCTTAAAATTGCATGTAGAAAATTTATATATTCGACTAAAGTTTTGGCAAACTTATCAGTTAGTCAATATATCTTGATTTACTTATTCCTGAAAAATGCCTTATGTGCCTTGGTTTTCACTTGTTGCCAAGCTTATTGTCATAAATAATTGTGCTGGCACTATTTTAGAAAGTTTAATCACGCGCTCATTGTGTCGATATCGGAAGTAATATTGATTTTACTTATTTTGACTTTTACCTACAATTGAATTTTAGAGTAACAGAATACTTTACATCAATTTGAAATACTTACATAATTATTTTATTATTTCAGTTTTTATATTATAATGAAATAATAATAACGAAATTTTTTTTCTATATTTGTCGAACGCATTACAAAAATCTGTATTTTTTGTCGAGCCAATAAATTCAACACTATCGTTTATATATATATGTATCTCGCTGAGTAAGCTAATAATATGGAGCTTTCAAAGAACCATTTCCATTGTAATTGATTTTGGTTTTTTAAATAATTAAATAAAACATAGTTTACTTGAATATTGTCTTGTATTTACTTTATTATTAATATAGACATCAGAATAATCAAAGTATAGTTTCATTACATACACTACAATACAACAGTTGTTTTCTCTAATAGAATGCGTAAAAAGTTTATTTGTTTATCAAACCATATTATATCAAGTTCAAAAATGATCTTACACGGTCTCCTAATATAACGAGAATATAACTGTCAACTATATATGCTTACATGGAGTAATAATAATACTTTATTTGTTTTATTCAACAGCATTCCAGAAAGAATCCAAAAAGCAAAACTAACTGCTATTAAAATGTGGTAGGAACAATCTAAATTATGTATTGTGGATAGCTCTCTGCGTTTACTCATTCATTACGCACTGCTAACTATATATATATATGTGTGTGTGTGTGTGTATAAAAATATATATATATATATATATATACTAGTTGAATACAGAAAAAATTCAATTAATATATTCGCGAATATTTTTTTTTATCGGTTTAATAACTGACGGAAAAAATCTAACAATTCTTTTGTCTATTTTATAATTCGTTTAATATAACTTTATCATCACCAATTCTATAATACAATTTTCCACCGTGACAATTTAAAATGCCACTGTTGGTTACGCGATAATCCTCCTAAACACATAAATACAATATATGCTGGTTATCGTATAAATCATATAAGAATTTGTGCTGTAGATATCGAGTTAAGATTTCTTTAAATATTTCGATAAAACCAATACGTTTTCGCGGTGATTGTAAAAGTCTTTTTAAAAAAAATTTTAAATTATGTTTATTCGACGAACTTGCAACGTTGGCAACACGTTACTCTGTAAACAAAAACATATATATATCAAAAACAGAAATTTATATTACTTATACGTATATCTGACTTTCATCTTACAGCTTCGTCGCACGCAACTATCACTTTCACTCTTTAGCGCAATTTCATGGTACATGGCTGCTGCACGTAGTTTAAACAAAAACCTCGATTGCCATAGTCATTAGGAGCTTCTGTGCCGTCTGTGTGGAATACTAACCGAAACGGCTTCACCGTACCTGAGTAAATTTTCAAGGGAATCAAGATTATTTTTCAATTGAATTTATGACTAAATTTATTTTTATTTCATTTTATAATTCACGATATGTGCACTTTATACTCTTATTATATACTTACAACACTCTGGGTCATGGATTTTGCTCAAACTATAATAAGTAACCTTCTTTTCGTCTTTGTTAAAGAAACTTGTTAGTCTTATATCAATAATAAAAAAATCCAATTCTGCTTTGAATCCAATAAAATGTTAAAATAATAAATCTACTGTAATATGAAAGAGTTATCAATAGAAAGCTGAGATTAAATTTCTTTTTAAAAAAAAATTGTCAAAAAATTACAATTCGTTTATATATTATGTTAATTAAAATTTTGAATTCAAGATAGTCAATAAAATTTACAAAACCACAAAAGTACTAGATTATTAAGAAAACCTATTTCGCGACATCTGAGACTATTAATAGAGGGATTTTATTTCACTTTTCGATTGATAATTTAAAATTACGCTTGACTGCTTTTATTTCTGTATAAAAGGAGGCCATTTACCAATTTGTAGCAAAATTCATGAGCCGGAGGAGTTGGATCTCCTCTTGTTAGCCAGTAATTAAACACATTAATCAAGGTAGACAAAAAATATTTTTAGGTCAAACTTGCGAGCTTTCATATTATAACAAACAACCCTCATTTTTTTTAAGCGGAATGATAAATCAGTGAATCTAATTCCAATGGAGAGATAAAAAAGAATTGGATATCACATACTCGTCACAGAGGTAGAGCGGCTGACAGAGTAGTTGTAGTGCAGTTGTGAAAGCGAAGGTAAAAAGCCACCCGCCATAGCCCATACCATTAAACTCACGCACGTACTTATCACGGATGTTGAGTTGACGGAAGCTTCGGTATTGAAAGCACCACCGCAAAGACGATCGACACAAGTAATCTGCGAACCAGGTAATTTTCCAGCGTTACTTGCACAAGGAACCATCAACCAGTCGTTTTGGCATGCTCGATCAGCCATCGCTGCATATTGTCCTGACAAGGTATTACCCGAGAGGGTGAATGAGCTCGGTGGTATCGGAAGTCCTCCAGACAATGGATTTATTTGCGACGTTGAGGCTGAAACGGTGTTGAATAATTTTGAGGTTATGTGGGCCCAATTCCCCTAAAACGGTCCAGTAGATAAATTGGAGATTTTATTGGGAATAAAATTAATTTTTTATAGGCAAATGTCACCTCTTGTCCGACAAATACGTTTGGTAAGACTAAAAAACTGCTGCCCATAACCTCAAAATTCATAATTTGTTACGGTATTTTACACAGTCAATAATGCTACATAAAAATTGATAGAATGAAAAAATTATTCGATTCCTAGTCGAACAATAATTTTCTTATTTGTCAAAACATCTGTTTACCTCCGTCATCGCAAGTCATGTACTGAATCCCACAGAAATTACGCTCCATCCTGATGCAAATACTGTAGTCCTGGTTAGACAGTTGTAGCCCTACGTTAGGATCGTAGTTGAAAGATTTAATCTGTCCAGAAACACCGGTATAATACTGCATACAGCCCTCTTCCGCGCGAAAAATGCTACTGCAGGGTATTTGAGCGATTCGTACTCTCCACGAACGGTCGAAGCCACTACCACTCGTGACGAAAGACAAAGTGACCGGATTTGTTGGACCGGTTCCCACGTCAATGTACACTTTAAAAACAAAGTCAATTTATTACTTTTTATTAGTCTACGTACACCCGATTTTTTGAATGAAACACTTACTGTGATTGCCGTTGTTACTACCGCAGATTGGTGACACTGGATTTCCTCCAGATACGATAAATTGATCGTAAGTACAAAGGTTATTTAAGGTTTCAGGGCCTCTAATGTTGAATTGTACAAAATCCAATCTGTAAAATATATAACATATTCTATAAAAAATGTATTCTATAAAAAATTTTCATTTTCGTTCGTCATCGTGGAAGAAGATTCACCTAAACTGACAAACATCAGGATGCGATTTGATCAGCGTGAGTTGACAAGAATCCGTTCCATCGAAGTTGCCCGGATAACTTGGATTGACGAAATATGTATTATTGTCGAAAGTCGATTGGCCACAAGTCACAGTCACTGCAATCATTTTACAGATTACATAAAAAGACTATTGTCATTATTATCGTTACACTACAAGTTCTTACCAATGCAACAGACACCGAAACCGTTAGCACACAATCCACTGGACAATCCGCCACGTTGACCGCACTCGGAAGGTGCGATACAAGTACCGTTTTCACCAGATAAACCAACACATATGTTGTTGTCAAAGCGCACTAGCGTAAATAATGATAGAACTGCAAACAAACGTTATCAAGATTTTGATGAGCGTTTTCGACGAAAAAATGTATGAGCCATAGCTTCTTTTAACTCACGTCTAGGATCTCGATTAGGTGCTCGTTGCTTCGGTTGATTAGTACCACTTCGACTATCGCTCGCTCTTTTATGCCAAAAAGGACCTCTGGCATTTATTTTACGACTTTTCTCAGTCTGCTGTGGCTGTCGTTGTTGTGGTTTCTGTTGCTCGGCCGCGATAGCCAACGCTACAAATAAAAGCAGCAATGACATTTGCCGCGTCATTTTAATACTTAAAACTCCTCGGTGTGGCTTCTCATATCTGTCGAAGGTGAACTTACTGGCGAAAATACTCCTCAACGTAGCTGTATATATAAGCTCGGCAGGAGCTAAGTGAGCGTAATGGACAGCACTTTTGACATGTGGGCGAGCGCGTCGTGGTAAAAGGAAAGTCACCGAGTAGTTAAATTGGCCGTGGCAAAGCAAAACAAAAGCATTACACGATGAATCTTTTGTGCATTATATATACTCAATCTGGCTTTGTTTTGTTATTTCGCTTTTTAAATTTGACTAAAAGTCAGTGAAAGGATACTAACAAAAGTGATTCGTTTTGTACCTAAAGGTGCTAATTTCTTCACTGGACGTTGTTTAATTTATAAGCTTTCTGTTTTCGATGTTATATCAAGTTCTATCTAAATGAAAAATAAATAAATAAAAAGAAAAGAAAATTAGTTCTAAGGAGATTCGTATAAAAATCTACTAACAATCTTCTTTAATTGTTAACAAAGTGCTTATATTCGTATGTATTAAAAGTTTCACGAAGGAAAGAACAATTTCTTGTTCTACAGAGTGAAATGAAGTTTCGGAATCTGAAGTCATCTTTGAAAAATGTTCTCCAACCGTTCTTTGAGAATTTTCCTGGATTACTTTTGAAGTTGAAGTAACATTGTGGTAAAATTATTTTTATATCGAAAACTAATTGTCAATTTCCTTTCTGTTTCTCGATAGATTTGTCATTCTGCAATAGAACGATATCAGTAAATTACGAGGGAGAAAAATCTCAACGCACAGCATAATCAGTGAAAAAGAAAAAACTTCGAAGAATATATACGATATTAAAAATATAGTCGCCATAAAAACGTAGATCTAACGTAGTTTAGCGCAACAATTTTACGAGCGTTAAAAACAATGTTTTTTCGCTTTATAGCGAGCTTTACACGTTAGCATCGTACGGAGATGCGAAGTACACGTGTACGGCAGAAGCGAAATTAAAAATCGATCGTCCAATAAAATACGTGCGCGTAAACCACAAGGGAGGGGGGGGGGGCTTTGTTTCGAAGCTCTTCAAACTATGTTCGAAGTTCTTTACTCGAAGGGAATTGAATGATTTAGAAATGTGTTTCGACGCTTCAAACTACGTTCGAAGTTTGCTACTCGAAGGGCATTAAATAATTTAGTAATCATAGCGCGCATACGTGTGCCTACGAGAGACGCGGAAGAAATTATAAAACATGCGTATGTGAGAGCAAAACGTACGTAGGTATTTTTAATTGGCGAAACATTCAAGTCCGACGATCGACTCTGTTCCGATAACAGGAGAATTGTGTTGCATTTATCGGGAGCACTTTTGAATACCATTCATCATACAATATATAAACTAAGTTCAATATATTGGAAAACTATCAGTAAAAAATATCACTTGAAATACAATAAACAATACAAATGGTCTATTGAATTTCAGGTGTCAAGCCTCTAGTAATCTTTTGAGCACTCAAATTCACACAATTCCATAATTTGAAAAATCTGTTACTCGAAATGAACTACAAATTCGAATAAATGGAATGTTAGTCAAGAAGTATGAATCGTTACTATAAATGAGCAATTAGTCTTGCTCAAAATAAGCATTATTTGTTCTTCAAAAAGAGCAATGCTTTTATGACGAAGACGAGTAATTTCTCAATGAATTTGAATAAGAAAATACTCAGTAACAGCATTCAGCAAAATAAAAATCTCAATTCTATACATGCATGCGTGCCTTTCATTGTTAAATAACGTTTCTTAAACACAATATTTTCTGACTTTGCATCCATGTTTCCACTTTTTCTCTATTAATGCTAATTCAATACAAAGACTTTTGTTCTTGGATACGTTGAAAATAACATAAAATAAACTTTTTTAATTTGATTTTTCTATGTTTCTGGCTATTCTTCATGAATAAACGAGTAGCGTTTGAGGCCATTTTCTTCACCGTGAAATCTCACAGTTCCGGCAGATCCTCGTGATCTCTGTTCTTCACTGCTAATAACATTGATAAGTATCCTCCGGAAGTCTTCAGAACCTTTGTGTAAAAAGACATCGAATTATTTAGTAATTTAAATAGTAATGAAAGATGAATCTCTTGTGCATGTGAACAAATCCTAATTTATGAGCGTTTGGCCTTTGAAGATCACTCTTGAATCCGTGCATGCTGAGAAATAAGTGGAGTACGTCTCTTATGGAAATCACTCACAACATTTCATATAAATACTGTACCTTTATCCAGAGAATCAGTCGTAAACAAAATAATTTTCCAATCAAGGTCTAGCCATTTAACCATAGTTTGAAATCTTGAAAATATGAAAATGCAGTCTCTAGTACACTGAACCCGAATAAATGGCATTATACATTCTAAAATATTTACTTCTCATCTAAATCACAATGGAAAATCGATGACTAGAAGTATAATTGTCCATATTTTGATACTGAATAAAGAATACGAATGAGTTTTCATTTACAAAACGAAATGTAGTTATTGTAAATAAAGCAAAATCACGGTAATTCGGTATGCTTAAGTTGTGAAATGATCTGGATCCAGTGTGCGACCTTCAAAGAGCTGCATGGACATTTATATAAAATAGAATAGAAGCATACACTGCAGAAGAGATCCACAGAGAGAGGCACAAATTTGCCTGCAGTCAGTTCAACCGGTCGATCTGCCCGAACCATTATAATAATCAACAGCTTCACGTCCGACGGAGGCAATCGATACCAATCGCTATTGTAAGCCGTCTCCTTCAGTTTTATGCTCTATGCAATTGCGATAAAAGCCATAAATTCATCGAAAATTAACATCTGTTCGTAATGTTACCTCCGTGCTCAAGATCACTGCGAGCACGCAGTACGCAAAAAGACTGACGAGAAAGGTCATGTAGTAGTATGTCGCAAAGACAAGTTCTAATACGTCTATCACATCTTTGTCGATTATCTGGAATCAATTGTAAAATGTGATCCACGTGTGTCTTTAACAAGCTAACTATTTTGCACGTATTACTGCAATTCATTTTTGTATTGTGCATGTGAAATTATAGTCGCAAGCTAAGAAATTTATAGAGATCATTCCAAGTTGCAGTTGTGTACATTTTCACGTGAACATACGAATATGAATACTGTGCCGTGCATACGCTATACATCGATAAGGAAATTATGCTTCTCACCCTTACGATCTGATATTCTGTGAGACAAAATATCACAAGCGATGTCAATAATTGCACGAGCAACTGCACGCTGAAGGCATTTTCGATAATATCTACGATTCTGAGAACAAAAGCATGGACAAATAAAGTCCTTTTGCATCGTTTCGACATTTTACTTAAATTGAGTGATATAAAAGTTTCTTCTAACTTGGCACTAGAAAGTTATTTAGATTGAATAATGAAAATATTGTTCGTATATTAATTCATATTGATTCTATAGATTTCATTTAGTTCAAGAATGTATTGGTTTGCGTATGGGATATAATTCGATAGCTTATCAAAAGAGATTTCGAATGAGACATCGCATGGTATCAAACCCAAGCTAAGACACTCCAAAGTAATCGTACGTTTTTAGGTACATACGAAAGGAGTACACCCAACGTGAGACTGTTTGGAAAAGAGCATTTTGACGTACCTGAATCGTGCGTTAAATATATAAATACGTGAGAACTGGATAGAAATATGCAGTTACATATAAAAAATAAAACAAATTTTAATTGTTATGAATATAAAAACTAAATTTTTTTCTGTTAATTGTCTACTCATCTCTTTGACGATATGCAAAAATTCCAAACTGAAAATTAAAAAAAATATTAATGCAGTGTTCATTCATAATTTGTTATTAATTTTCGACATATAATTGCGGTAGAATTTAGCTTATTTACGTGCTAAAAAATTTACGAGTGTTTTGGAAAGATTAAAAGACGAAAAATTGAATGGTGTATTGAAGTTGCATGTTTAAAAGTGTTTGGATAGCTTACAAGAAATGTATTTATTGAAAAGAAATTCGACAAACTGAAAATATTTATTGCCCGCGAAGAAATTATTTGCTTTAAATGGAAGAAACTGTCGATGTTTGACAATACGAATGTACCGCCACAGCATCGAGTCAATATATGACAAATGTGAATTCAAAATACCATCACAGTTCCATATTGGGTATGGTCCCATATTGGTTCCACCTACCTCGTAGTGACCGACAGATTAATTAATTACAGAAATCCGTGCATTAAAATCCAAACATCGTACTAACTTTAGTAAGTACATGTGTCTCTCGACAATCGGCGAAAGAATTAAATGCTCATTTCCGCTTTCGTTGAGGGCAGCTCTGGCCAATAGATATTTGAATCGCTCTCTGAGAAGCTCCAACTGAGCACAAAGATGAAATATGATTGACACGAAAAAGCCAGTGATCGAGGCGAAAACTGTGGCGGCAGACACCGCCGACAATATTTGGCAGATCCACGTGATTTCGTAATATGGACTTTTCTGCGCGTCGTAAGGGAATTTCGAAAGCATGTACATCGGACGAATGCGCTCGCTTGCATTCACTTTGCCCATTCTGAAGGCTTGCGACTCTTTGATTCGCTTGTAACAGTTCAGTGCGAAAAACGTCGCAACCGTTGATCCGACAACCCAGAATATAACGATCGAAATCAAATAGCTTATCTTCGCGTTCCTACGCATGATCAACTTCTCCGCGTGATTCTTCACCACTTTCCAGTCTTCGATCATCGCGGCGATAAGCACATCTAGATCTTGTATGGGGTTAAAGAGAAAAATCTGAGCCGACTGATGCTCCACTTATACATGAGATTAGAACGCAAGTCTGATGATAAATACCTTTACGGTGGAACCAGAAATTCAGTGACTTTATAGCCGCAAGCAAAATCGTGATATTGCAATTCGTTATGATTTCGAGCATTTCGTCGAAATCTTTCGATTCGAATAACTTGAACGTCTGCGGTATATTGCAAAAGCCGAGCATCAAACTCATTAGGATGATAAACTGTAGAGCAGTTTGGCAATTCACGTTCTTATTCAAGCAAGGCCATAGTCCGAACATCATCAGTCCCGCACGGGAGATTTTTATCTCAATCTCAAAGTCTTTGTTCATTGTTACAATAGGTTCGATGTCAAATAGGCTGTAGCTTCCGACGAACTGCCAATGTTCGCGCTGGTGCATCCCCTCCACGCGCCTTTAACCATCTCTCTCTCTCTCTCTCTCTCTCTCTCTCTCTCTCTCTCTCTCTCTCTCTCTCTCTCTTTCTTTCTCTCTACTCGTCTTGGGATCATTTTTTGATGTGAAATCCCATGCATTTATAATTCCCTGCTTCGCATGGAAAACTTATATTTCTCTTGAACTTCACAAACGATCGTGCACACGGGCTTTATTGATTCATCGTCGTCTGAATATTTCAGCTGGACTTGCGATGTGCTGTCCACACACTACTGCCCATTATTCAATACTCTCGTCTAAAATGTGTGAATTTTCTATGGGAGCGAAGGTTTTGCACATTGTTTCCATGCTTAAATTTGTGAAGAAATTATGAGTATACTCGAGTGCCGACGTGGCGCGTTTGATCTCCTATGTACTCTTTGTAGTATGATACCTACTATTGAGGAGTAAAACGCTTTTTTGTATAATGTTCAGTACTAGTCCATTTATGAAAATTGATAACGACTTTCAAAATTCATAGCTCTCAGTTGTAAACGCCTATATGTAAAATTATATCTCAATTTTACTTAAACGTTTTTGTAAGTACACTAATTTTAACGTATTCCAATTAGCCAATGCATTATGGAACGACTTTGATGTGATGTTCTTTAAAGGAAAAGACTAATCTTTCTCATCAACAATAATAAACATATGGTAAGAATGCTATATTTAATAAACAAACACTCGGAGAATGCCACTGCTACTGCAGCAGCCGGCAAGCCGACATGCAATTATTTTATACATACTTACAACACTCTGGGTCGTGGATTTTGCTCAAACTATGATAAGTAACCTTTTTCAGGTCTTCGTTAAAAAACTTTTCGGTTTTGTATCAATAATGAAAAAATCAAATTCCAGTTTGAAGGGTTTCCAGTAGAAAGCTGAGATCAAATGTCTTCTATTAAAAAAATTGCCAAAAAATTACAATTCGTTTACAACTTGTGTCAATAATAAATTTGCATTGAAATTGAAATTGGAATTGTTTTAATAGTAGGATTTGATCTCAGCTTTCAATTGAAAACTTCAAACCACGCTGGGGATTCTTTCTTTACAATAACCATTACGGTATAAAACGAAACTTGATTTTTTAATATTATAGATAGAAAATCCCATAACTTCCGAATAAAGATCTGTGAGTGAGTGAACACAATCCTCTGGGGGACTTTCATTTCTACACAACAAAAAAAAAGGCACTCATGAAGTATAGCAAAATTCGTGAGCCGCAGCATTGAAACTTCCCTTGTTATTCAGCAATTAAACGATATTAATCGACGTAGGCAAAATATATTTTTAAGTTAAGCTTACGAGCGTTTGAAATTTTCGGCATCTTTTTAATGCTCAAAACTACTCGCTGTGATTTTTCATGTCTGTCAAAGGTGATTTTACTGGCGAAAAAACTCGTGAAAACAGCCACACACATAAACTCGATAATAGTTAAGTGAGCATAACGGACTGCATTATGACATGCGGGCGAGCGCGTCGTCGTAAAAGGAAAATCACCGAGATGTTAAATTGGCCGTGGCAAAGCAAAACAAAACCGTGAAACCATGACTTTTTTGCGCATTATATGCTTAATCAATCTCTGTTTGGTTCTTTCACTCCTTATTTGGATTATTTTGTTAAAGTTGAAATAACGTCGAGGCAAAATTATTTTTATACCGAAAACTGAATGCGAATTCTCTTTGATGGTAATTTTATGGTAATGTTTCGAGATAGAACAGTTCGTCGTGTATCCTAACGTATAACACAATCGGTGAAAAAAAAATTTCGACGAATACGATATCCGAAGCTCTATGCAGTATTTGCGTCGCAAGGGTGAAAATGAAAAATAAATCAGTAGCCATAAAGACGTAGATCTAGCAAAGCTTGTCGCGACAATTTTTTCAGCGTTAAAAACAATGTTTTTCCCTTTACAGCCAACTTTACACTGCGCACAGTGCTGGATAATTATAAAAGGTCGAACCGTATGAAGACAAGTTGTTTGTCGCGATAGGTACGTCAGGAGCAAAAATTAAAATCAATTGTCCAATAAAACGCGTGCGCGTAAGCAACAAGCGAGGGAAAACTTTGTTCTGATGGTCTTTAAACTATGTTCGAAGTTCTCTACTCGAAGGGTACTGAATGTGTTAAAAACGTGTTTCGACGCTACAAACTACGTTCAAAGTTTTCTACTCAAAATTATCGCGCCTATATACAAGCTTATGAGCAACACGGAAGATTTTATAAAAAATGCGTGTATATAAGAAAAAAATGCACGTAGATACTTTTAAATGGCGAAATATTGAACTCCGGAAAATAGGAGAATTATCAAATAAATACTGCATCAGGATGATATGTTAAATTAAAGCTATATGATCGTTTTAATCATACGAGGCTAACCTAATGACTTTTCTATATAAGGTGTCATTATAAGATATAACTAAACATTTTTAGTGATTTTTACGAGGTTGTACGTGTCTGAATGCGCATATATGGATGTACCTTAACACCGATAATTTTTGTTTTTGCGGAGGGTTTCGTTCAATCCATGTTTTGTTGACAATCACAAACAATTTTAATGAAATGACACGGAATTGCTGCAATTGGCATTTAGACAATTAAACCGAAATTATTATGAAGGTATTGAACCTTAAAGCTTCATGATTACAACATATCGTAAGCGTTTTCGTCACGGACACTGTCATCGTGAGATAGCAGTTCGTTATAAATCGAGATATTGTACATTGTTATTTTTTAATCTTATTTTGTTTTGATTTTATTTTCTCTTATACTTACTGGCAAGAAATATAAGTGTGTTAAGTTTCCACGCTTAACAGATTGATAGATATATTAGATAGACGCAGTAGCTGTTTTCCGTATGGAGCTAAAATTGTTTACAGGAATTTCTGTACAAGCATACAGGAAAATAGGACTACAGGTGACGGATCAATAGACGAGTACTCTATGAATATAAGATAAAAAAAATTTCAATATTATTACAATAATATATCATTTGACTATTTATTTTTTCACCATCCTGGATAGCACAAAATTTTTTATGTCAAACTAAAAAACGTTATGAAATGTTGGTGGAAAATGTTGATTACAAACATTTTACAATCGTCGGATATGTCCACAAATTTGTTGATACTGTCAATAAAACTGCGTTATTTAGTTATTTAATTAATTAGTTATTATTTGACCTTTCTTCAAATTTATATTATGATGTTAGTAATATTTGATAGATTATAGGTTTATTTTATGACTTGCATTATGTAACATTCAATTTCAACTATAATAAATATGATTTTTGTAAATCGAAATTTATTGTTGGATTTATATTATTTTTATTTATTCTTTTTTTTCTATTTCGTTACTTTACACATATTTACCCTGAATGTACCCCCAACGTGGATTGAATCGCGACCCCCCCCCCCCCCCCCCCCAGTTAGGTTGGTATGAGAATTCCGTCGTTGCATCGGAACGAAGAAACCGTGGGAAAATTCAAAAATGAAAATTCGTTTTAAGATACGATAAAAAGCTAAAACGTTACTAATTTGTTTTTAGGTTTAAAATTAATTGTTTGCTGAACAATGAATTTAGATGCATGATTATTTGATTTTAGGTTTTAATTATATAATTTAAGAACGAGCGTTATACTATGACCGATCTGAAAACCACCGTTATGGATTGAAAGTAGCAGTCAAAATCAATGCTCGAATAGCAGACCTGAAAAAGCCTGTTTACACGTGTATATGTCTATTTTAAATGTTTCTTCCGAGTTTCTTATGCTTTTACCTGCTTTTGCTTCAGCAAGGATTTATCGTTATGCTGGCATTTAGATAAGTTATTATTTATTTATTTATTTACTATCTACAATAGAATTTTCCTATTAATTACAATAGAAGTTTCTTCGTTCCGATGCAACGACGGAATTCTCATACCAACCTAACTGGGGGGGTCGCGATTCAATCCACGTTGGGTGTACATGCATATTCCCTTCTATATACTTTATCGTATTCATGGACGGTGAGAGCTTTCTTGTTCCGACATCAATACTCGTAATGTCATTCGGGGAATCCCTGAATTTTGTTTGCGGTACCTTAATGTATATATGAGTGTGTGTGTGTGTGTGTGTGTGTGTGTGTGTGCGCGTGCGCGTGTGTGTTTTATATATATATATATCCATATACGTTATTTTTTTTCTTTTTTATATAAACAATTTGAAATTTTGTAAAGAATTAATTTTATCCGAGTTAACAAGCCAATTGCTTACGTTTGACATTTAATTATATTAATTTAAACCATAGGTCCGTACTCCGTATATATGTATACATGTATGTACATGTTTAGGCATGTAAAAAATCAAGATCGGAAAATGACTGTTAGTTTATAGATTGTGTGATAATTTACCTGAAATGTGGAATGAATACTACATGAGATTTGCAGTTATAGTTTTGAGCAAAACTTTTCCTAATTATGATTTTCCTAATACTTATTCCTTCCTTCATTTTTGTCATCGTACAATAGTTACCTTAATTCTTATATCAATTTATTTAATATTGCTTACTCGGCCCCGGCGAAGAACCGGTGGATGAGTCTCGAAGCTCTGGTCGAACCGTTGTGAACGCAACTTACTCACTCGTCTTTGCATTCAAAATTTGCGCCTTCCGAGACGGTCAATATTTTTGACTTTGACTAATAGTACTAGCAACACTAGCCGTTACAGATACTTACCCATGTGACCTTAGTTCAGTCAGGTTCAGTCAATCAGATCACGAATAAATTGACTTCACTTTCAGAGCTATCTCTTTTTTTATAAAAGAAAATTTCAATTCGTCATATGCACACTTGAAATTTTTTAAATCAAACAATTCATTATTCGGCTCTAAAAGCATCTAAAAGCCACATCAGGGACAACAATTGAAGGTCTTGAATAG